ACCAAGATTCTCTATATCTTTGATTGTTCCACATACCATGTGGGTACCAGTAACATAAGGCAGACAGTTTGTTCTCACACTCACCACGTTGATCCCATGGATCCAACCCACATTTTATCGCAATGCGATGCTCCAAGTTCTCTTCGAAGAAACCCTGTCGAGCCATTGGCCTTTCGTCTTCAGGAACATCAATTGATGGATAAGCCATGTAGAAACTTGAGTTCCTAGAAGCTGCACTCTTCAGCCTAGCATTGCTATAGTGGTCCATGCCCCTCATCCAGTGCTTCCGTCCCGCAGTCATTCCGAATCGCCGCCATTCGTGTCTGATCTTGTCATAGTATCCATAAACTCCGTCCTCGTAAATCTCATCATCTACCAATCTGAAGTTGGTATGATCAGAGAGAAGACAGTCAAAAGCAGTTAGACAATTGAGATCTGTTTTGACATGTCCCAGAAATACCATAAGAGCCGCCATGTGACCAGACTTGTCATGTTGCAAATGCCAACACCAGTGATCCTGCAAGAGGGTAGGAACTTTGTTACCAGATACATGAACCACCAATCTCATATTCAGAAGGTTTTGTAAGTAGTCTGCTCTATCCAGGAAAGCTTGATTGATTATAGGCCGTTGATTAATTGGTAGATTGTCGCCACCAAGACAATACACTTCCACAGCCAAATTTATCCATTCTGGGTTATTGAGTAATCTGGATGCAAGCTTTGGACTGTCGGATCCAAGCGTGGCCTCTCTGGGTTCAAGAACAGCTGCCAATAGATACCGCGGCTCCTCCACGGCCGGTGTTGTATCTAGTTGCTGTTGAGGCTTGGTGATGATTATCGGCTTTGTCTTACACTCAAATGCCAGCTCCACTAGGCACTTGTGATTTGATTTCAAGTTGGTTGATTTGCCCTTGTTGGGCCATTTGAATTTGCTTGGTTTCTTAATGGTGGGAAATGTGCGGGCGTGACAAAATGCCTCCAACTCAGGCACAACACATTTATCGAAGTGATGAGGCTCTGCTGCCGCTATTGGGTTAGGCTCGTCAGATTGGATAATGTCCTTCAATCTGATCTCACATTTCTCATTCATTTTCACGATACCATTGTAGATGTCGAGCTTTTTGGTAGCTTGTAGTCGTTTTTTAGCCTGAGCTTGGATCAATCTATCAGCTCGCAACTGGGCTTGATGTGTGTGACTCAAACACTTGGCTCGCTGCTCATGCTCCTGACTGATGCCTTGGTATTTGGGAACTTCGGCTCCCGATTCATCAGTATCCATAGGAAAGCCAAGTTCATCAAAGACACTCTCAGCAACATGTCCATATTGATGTACTTCCTGTAACAATCGTGGCAGAGACAATTTGACAAGATCATACAATTCTGTTTCAATCTCGTCCCTGCAAGTGCGTAGCATACCATTGAAATTTGGAAACGCCAAATCCCTACGTTGGTAGACGGTCGGAAGCAAACCATTTGCAACAAAACCGGATGCTACTTTGGTAGTTGTCACGCACTTGGTAGTTGTCTCCGGTAAACAGCTCACAAAATCCACAAGCGCATCATGCTTTGATTGTTTGAGTTTGAAGCCGTATTTCCGGTTTGCCAAAGCCAGAGATCCGACAACGATGTCTTTGAAATGATGGGCCTCGGGAAGAGTGTCTTTCAAAGTTGTTGCTTTGTTGGCTATTTTCAAATCTTTGAATATAGAGCAAATGTCACAAGGTTGTTCCGTAGCTGTGCGGGCTGCAGATTGTTTGTTGGTACCAATGCTCAAATCTTTGAACTGTTTCAGTAGAACCGGATCGACCATAGTGGCGAGTTGTGACAATTCTCCATCACACCACACCATAGCTTGGAGGCTGTCTGGAATTGGCAAGCCAGGCGTCCAATGACCACCGGGATCCTCTTTTCGTAGAGTTTCAATAAAGGGTAAAAGACAGTGTTTTGTGAAGAGCTGACATTTGACTTTTTCGGTGTCCTTGTTCCCGTCATTTCGGACAAGCATAATGTATCCACATTGATTAGATCCAACGGTAACGCCACCACCTCCTATGGAAAGTCCTCTCACTTTGATAATGACTGCACCAGACTCACAAGAGTCTTTGGGTAATTCACGTTCATTCAAACCCAGCACTGAAACACAAAGTGGCCCGAATATTCCAGCGGCAGACATGAGAGCTGTCATTTTCACTCTGATCCCACCGGTAACAGCCGGAGCTGGCCCAGTATTGTACTGTGACCTTTTGCCAGTGTCAGTATGATAAGAAGAAATCGCAGTGAAGAAAACCTCATTGGTGTTATCCGTGTTCAATCCATTCATCGTCCACTCCGTTGTATCGTCGGAGGAAATCAAATAGCGTGCCTTGATAGGGAACAAGGGGACTCCACCAAAGAAACTGCTCACTTTCTCATAGACAAGTCTCTCCAGCTCAGGGGCATACCTGAGAAACTTTGTCACATCTGGATGCTCATTGATATCACCAGTGATGGTCAAGTGAGAAATTGCAACCACTGCAATGAAAGCAGCACTCGATCGAATAGAAGTTTCGGCAGTGGCACGGGTCCGTGTTTTCTTAATGCTGCTGCTGGGACAACTTACTCCTCCAGTCAACCTAAGATGAGTTCCATAACTGCGCAAGGTGTCCTTACACGGAGTAGCAGTCGATTCTGACAGGAGAATCTTTCCGCTAGCTTCGATCTTCTCCTTTTTGCGGCTGATCATTTTTTCCTTGAGCTCCTCCAAGCAAATAGTTTTGCCAGGACGAGCTGACAGCTCTTGCGCAACTTCCTTCAAATCGTTTGTTGAGAGAAGGGAAGGTCTTCCAAAGTTGTTCCAATCGTACTTGGGAAATGATTCGAGCGTGCCACCCGCATTCTTATGTTCTCTCCAGCGTTTCATCATTCGATACAGAGAAGCTTTCTTGACTGGAATATATGACATACCAATAATTCCATCAATCACCGTGGCTTTGGCAACCGTTTTGGGAGCCAATTCAATCACCTGGATGCATTCATGACGGCTATACATTTTGCCATCGACAGGAGGTGGAATAATACTGTCGTCCACACTGGCAGGCATATCGGGTGTAGTAGCTCTGGGTTTCTTCTTCTGCGAGGGAGCACATAGTTTTTTAGAGCCTTCGTCATCAATAAGAGTAGCTACTCTTTCAACAGAAGTGGATGGTGCTTGATTTCTTAAAGCTTGCCTGTTGGCGGTGGCAATTCGCTGGTATCCTTTGTTGAAACCTGGGATGGGGGACAGTGCCCTAACATCACGTTTCTGCTTAACATTTTCTTGATCCAGGTAGGAGCTCAATATTGTCAAATTATTGGCAGCTTTCCGTTTCTTCGAACTGGAAGTAGATGAATTAATAAGAACAGTATGAATTTCTTTGATAGCTTTGGAGGTTTCATCTAAGCCATCAACCCGTTGGGCAAGAGAAATACATGAGTTAATCTTGGCGTCCAACTTAGTCACTCTTGTAGGAGGAACAACAGTTTGGCTGTCTCCAGACTTCCTTGGCCGCATAGGTGTATCCATGGCTGCAATTGTAGGGATTAGTTCGACCGGAATTGGGATCTAAGATCAGCTGGTGACTGGTGGCACCAATATTAGTGCAAAAATGAGTTCCCTACTTTGCTAGCCGTTCGTCACTTCCACATGCACCAAATGGGCAAGCCACTACCACCACTACGACCGGCACGTCCAAATTATGTATTCCCTATCTCAAAGTATTGCTAGGGTGACTCTATTGGTTAGACTGCTATGGTACCTTTGACACCCAAGATGATGGGTTTAATAATGGATCTGTGGCTCTGCAGGAACATGCAGCCATGAAACTCTCCACGGGAGGATTCAAAAAACCACGAAGCTGGGACGTTTCCCTGCCAGGTGGGACCTGGACAATTCCGCGGTGTTCCAGAGAATTCTCACCATTTTTTAAATTCTCAACTTAATCGGGGGAGTAGCCTGCTTTTGAGATAACCATGAACGTGGTGACGGTCCAGGACCTCTGTGGAAACTCGAGTCGTGCTACTTTTCGTCTCCTAAATCCTTTTGATCGTCTCCTATTTAATGGATTTCGTCTCCTAAAAATAGGAGACGAAACGGATCGCCTCTTTTAAATCTTTTGTCTCCTCTTAAAACGTCTCCTATTTTCAACGGATCGTCTCCTATTCTCAACGGATCGTCTCCTAAGTGTACCATGTAAACTGTATGGTATCGTCTCCTAAATCTTTCGGATCATCTCCTATTTCGAAATTTTCGTCTCCTAATTGGAATGTCTCCTACTGAATCGTCTCCTAAATATAGGAGACGATTGCTTTCGTCGCATAAATCATTTCGATCGTCTCCTATTCCTCGGTGTATCGTCTCTTAAGTATTTTGCCACGAATGACGTTTCCACAGAGGTCCAGTTGATACAAGGTCTCGTAGTGGCAAAGTCCCGTGCTACCGTACTGGCAGTGTAGATCAAAGTCTATGCTATCTAGGCCAGATAGGATAGATCAAAGTCTATGAACGATCCCTTTGGAGTGCATTTGACTGGATACTTTTGTGGGTACAGCACAGCACTAGAAACATGTGCCACTATCTGCTTTTATCCAAACTATTATAGCTTAATCTTCCTCCGTCTCCCCTCTGTGCCCCTTCAACTAATCACTTTTGTGGGTACTAGTACGGTAACATGCCGCGGGGATGAAATCATGGCGTTATGGTCTTCAGAAGCGTACCAGGCTGGCACTAGATCTAGCTAGCTCGGACAACTTGCAGGTTTCTTTGGAGGAAATACATCACTCGAGGCGCCACTTGCTGATGCTGGAGTCAACACTTGTCACATCACCCCTCTCTTCCCACACTTTGAAGGACACGATAAGGCAAAAGGAGCTGCATACGCATCATCATTGCAAGTCTTTCTGACAAGATTTCAACCACACCGTACCATAGCAAGTCCCGGGTTGAGGAAAGCGAGCTCGAGGGTCCCTTTGTCGTTCACGAATTCCTGAGCCTTGGCTGGCTCTGTGACATCTAAATCTCGCAACGGCCTTCTGCCGATTTTGAGAAGGGACGTCTCATTTGTTTCTTTTCCAGTCCTGGATTTGGATTGTCTTGTCGGGTGTCATGTTGAGTTTTCAGTCCAAAGAGACACCATCCATTCAGAGCGGTCCGTATTAGCAAGCGAGTAATTGAGCAAGAAGTAATCGTCAGAAAGACCATGGGCGATCCATTCGGAGGAGGTCCTATTGTGTTGGATCTAGATTTGAGCGACGACGAGGGCGGCACCGTGATCCAAAATCAAAATGAAGAGGAGAATGAGCTTTTGCATCGTATCAATCGAACTGGACCGAGTGACGATGCGGGGAGTCTGTTGATTCTGCCTGGGCCCAGCTTTAGTAATAATAATTATACCCGACCAACTCTACCCGCCACAAATAATCGGAGTGCACCGCCAAGGCAGAACCAACCAACATCACCGTCTTCTGCCGCATTGCCTCCACGTCCCACTGCTCCCAGTCGCCCCCCACCAGAACCAGCCAAGAAGAGTGCAATTTCCTCGACGAAACCAAGTAGTGCCTCCAAGCCCAGTAGTAGTAGCAGTCACAAGTCAAAGCCATCTTCGGATAATAATAAAGTCACTCCTGTGTGGTCTACGAATGATTTGAAACGCAAGGATGATAGTGACGACGAGGAAGAAGAGGACGAGAAAAAGGCACCTCTGCCCCAGATTCCCACAACAACCACAACGAGAAGGACTGGAGGCCTCAATAACTACCTGGGGGATCGTCCCTCCCATCCAACGTTTGGGCCAGCCTCGGTGGCCTCGGGAGTGGCTTCCTTGCCGCCCAGTCACGAGGTCATCGAAGAAGACGACGATGAAGACAGCGACGACGAATGGAAACGAAAACGATTTCATAAACTCAACAATATACCCCCGGATGATGAAGAAGAAAAGAAAAAGATTAAGCGAATCAATTCCGACGACGATTCCAAATTGCCAGCCAAACAGAGACCTTTGCCCAATAATATCTCACGAGCACCACCAAAGCCAAATAATAATAATGGCATGGTCGATGATAAGGCTGCTGCCCGGAAGAATATCAATGGTGATAACAATAATAATAATAGGATGGAGACCATCATGCATTCGGATCCACCCACAGATGGAGGTGACCCTAATTATACCACGGATGAAACTCGAACTGATGAAGATTCCTTTAATTCCGACCAGCCAGCATTGATCATGCCGCCAGAGGCAAAACCTAAACCATCTGCCACACTGCAAGAACGGCCGCCCATGGAACAGAAACAAATGGCACCTCCACTGATGATGAAAGAGACAAAGGAACCACAAGAACAACCAATGGCAACGAGAAATGAACCGCCCAAGGAAAATACGGGCATGATGGCCGATGCAGCAGTGGCTTCGGCGGTGGCAGCAGCTTCCAGCGACCCCGATCCTCAAGAAACTAGTGGAGCACAACAGGAACCGCCTTCGTCTCCCAAACCCAAGGAACCAGAGCCGGCCCGTGATGATTACTTGATCCAAATGATTCGGAGACAATCAGCAGTCCGAGAGAGCCAAGAACCAAAACCTGTTTCCAACATCATCAACAACAGCATCAACCACGGAAATACAAATATTCGTGCTTCGACAAACATGCGAGAATCTACCAATGAAGACTTTACTGTGCTAGTGCTCCCCGACCAAGATGGGGGCTCGATCATTGCGGGAGCAACGCCACCTGTGGTGTATCGGAAACCATCGCAACCACAACGACCTAAACCACAGGAAACTGCTCGGAAAGAAGTCGAGCCACCTCCACCCGAAGCGGCTCGGAAAACCGCAGCGGCGGCTGGAGCTGCTCCCGTCAACTATCGAAACAAGATGCACGCACGTAGAAATTCGGCAACGGCACCACCGGCGGTCGCCGCAGCGGTTGCCGCACCACCAAAGCAGCAGCAAAACACTGCCACACACATGGAGATTATCATCATGTTTAGAAAGAGCGGAAAGAGCAACCCACTGAAAGTGGCAGTCGACGATACAGTTCGAAATGTAAAGGAAAGCATTGAACAGAAAAGTGGGATACCCGCAGAACATTTGGAGCTGATTTTCGAAGGTGTAGAGCTGGAAGATCGTCGCCCTTTGGCATACTACAACATCCAACCGAGGTCCACTGTTCACCTCACCGCTCGACCACCTCCCGAGCCCAAGAATGCCGTGGCAGCAGTTCAGAGCGAACAACCGCAACAAAGTACTCAACCAAGTACTCAGATACCAGTATCCGTGAGACTACCAAATGGAAACGCTTTATCTCTGTCCATTGCTTCTCTCGACAAAGTACAACAGCTAAAAACCATGATCCAACAAAAGGAGGGGGTTCCGGTGGAACAGCAGCGGCTCATTTGGAATGGACAAGAGCTTGAAGACGAGCGCACTGTGTTGGGGTACAATATCCCAGCAGGCGCTGTCGTCTACCTGAGCGTCCGTCGGCAACCACCAGAATCTCAGAGGAGGAGTCAGGAGCCGCAGAGGAGGAGAAGTCAGGAGCCGAGGCAAGAAATTGTGAGTACCCCGCAAGTCAACGATCAACAGCATGTTACTGTTACAGTTACCAAGCCCACACCCGACTCAAAGGTGGGCATTGCCATCAAGCGACACGACGATCTTGGCTTTTTGATTGATTCCATTTCATCCACCAGTTTGTTTGCCCGTACTGGCTTGGAATCTGGAATGAGAATTCTTAGCATCAATGGAAGGCCGATCAATCTCAACATGCCATCCAAAGAAGTCCTTTCACTCCTCAAAACCGCGCCATCTCGAGTGACCCTTGTAGCTGAGAGGTTCAACACGCAAACAAATCCGGCCCAACCAACTCTGGACCCAGAGCAGCACCATGTCGCTCCGCCACGAGCTGGGCCAGAGCCAATGGAGCAACGAGTCAGGCCAATGGAAGACAATGTCGGGGTGAAACCAAGGACTGCCCCTGCACCAGCACCAGAGCCACCAAAGCCAAGGACACCATTGGACGACGTCGTTGACTGGTTTCGAACTAACGAGCTACCAACAAATTCCGTTGTCTATCTGGACAAGTCAGCAGAGTATGCCTTTTCTAAACTGACAGGTGTGGCGATGATACAAAAGTCGGAATTGACGAGAGATGAAAAGCTAACATTCCTGGGGCAATGCATGGATTCGTTACGACGTCAGAACCCCAACACAAGAAATATGGACGAGAAGAGTGCACGGCACATATTGGAGTTCCACAAGAAAGTGCTGAGGTTAGTTGACAACCCAAATGTAGCACTCCCAAAACCTCCAGTGCATCCGAAAACCCCTGCTCCTCCTTCCGACCCTACGCCCGCAGATCCACCCAAGGCTGGCTGCTGCATCATCTTGTAGATTAGACTATTGTTCGTAAGAGACTTTTATTTTCACCCGGCTTCGTTCGTGTTCTTGGCACTCCTTCTCGTGTTCTTCAGCTAGTGGTTCGTTGTGGGTTATGGTAGAGCGTGGCCCTCATAAAGTACTTTGCATGCGTGATAAGAAGGACTCGGAGCACACAGCTGAATGCACTCAGGTTCCCTCCATAGCACGCAAAATCAACCGCAACGTCATCTATTTCGTTCGTAAACAAGAACCAACAAGCAACATATTCGCTGCAGTCAATGGCGGGGCCTGTCGCGTCACAAGCCTTGGAAGCATCGGTTGTAAAGCAGCAGGTGGCTTCAGCACAAACTTCCAAACAAGGTGCAAGGAGACCCTGTACATTACTGAAGCATGCCTCCTCTGCTGCTGTATTGGTGTAGGTATTCGCATTTGAATACAAGGTCTCACAAGTTGCGTAGTAGCTGCAGACAATGGTGTCTGGTTCACAAAACTCTTCTATGTCTCTGGCGAAGCCACATGTTGCTTCGGCACATTTGGACACACATTCAGCAGGGTCATACTCGTGGTCGCATGCATACTCAATGGGGCTGATCCCTCTGGGTACCAAATTCCAGCAGGGCGTGTATCCTTGGCATACAGGCTCGGAGACACAGGAAGCAACAAAAGGCTTCCAACAACATTCCATCTTCCTACAAGCGTCCTGGCAAAGCTGAAATCCATCTGTAGTTGTAAGAGAAGCAGCAGAGCATATTTCCGGCAGATCTGGAGGAGGCAGCTGGGCGACAGTGTCGCCGGTCGGCATCATGGTCACATACTCGTCAGAGGGACCCGATGTAGCATGAACCAAGATTGTGCAAGGCGAGTAGTGTTCACAGACAATGTCCTCCACGCACGTGTTGGTCTTCCAGCAACATTCAGCATTGGCACATGCATCTTCGCACAAGAGTACTTGATCGATCGAATCAATAGTTGCAGGGTCACATACATCTTGCAGATTGACTGGGGCAAAGGGAATCACAAGAGTAACGTTTGAGCTGTTGGCGGAAACTGTCAAGTTTGCCAAGCCGTCGTCGTCGAGGGTATGGGGTGGCATCATCTTGGGCATCTCTTCATAACTGCTTCCTTCAGGCCACATCATGACCAGCAGAGCCAGGAGCAGGGGAGTAGAGGAAGAGCCACCTGTTCGATGCATCTTTGAAGCTAACATACATAAATAGGAATGGATTCTTTCGATTGGAGAGTGCTACCGGTATCGGTACTGGAACCGTAACATCACGTTCATTGATCAATCCACCCAAAGAAAAAAAATCAAAATTTCAGTCTTAGATTTCAGGTAGGTGTGGTAAAGCCATCTACGTTACCGGAACCAGTTATTATTATCTTCGTTTTGATATCTTTACCGAAACTACCCTTCCATGATTTTGTCGTCGTGTCGCTCGTCGTGTTCTGTTGTGTCAGCTTTACTTTTTTCTGAAGGTGAAATACTTGTAATGTAAATCCACGAATCGAATCGAATGATTAATTGAATCGAATCGAATGATTCGATTCAATCCACTTTCAACGTGTTCTGCGCGCGTTCTGGAGTTTCGGAGATTTTATTAAAATAAGTATAAGGGGGTTTTAGAGTAGGGAAATTATCTACGGAAGCCAGCCGGGGCCAGGCTTCAGCAAAGAACAGTCGAAATTCAGGATAATCATTAGGAGAAACTGAACTAATAAGCCTCAACACCCAATTTCCGTTCAAGCCTTCCTCGCTCCAGCTGTAGCCTTCAATGCTCGAGTCGACGTTGTCGTCTGTGATCTGTGCTACATGTATCCAGACCGCATACTTTGTTTGCATTCCCATTGTGTTAATCTGGTGCCACCACTTCGCCGCGAAGAGATAGAGACCCATGGATTCCAATCAAAGCACAGTACGTTATCCAACTGGAGCTGACATCGGAGCTGATCTTGATGGGATGCTGCCCGGTAGTAGTACCAATCAACAACCACCGCACGATGAGGAGTTGGTCACAGATCCGCCGAGTTCGATCAACATCCCTAGACCCGAAGACATGAGCTGTGCTTCTTCTGTCACCACACGACACTTCTATGATGAAGAGCTATTTGTCCCACGCATGTATCCCTCTTTACAGAATGTACACGACACGGATGTACAGCATCCCACGTTAGGAGAGACTCAAATGGTAGCCAAGGAAGACCACGACGAAGAAGATGCCTTCTTGATGAAGGTCATTCGTGAGCGACAAAGCATTCGAGCAGATCCGTCCCATCTGGTTCATCCGCCCTCGGCCGAGCAAACCAAGCCGAGAACAGAAATATCACCGAGTGGCCTACCACCACTTCCAGAGGAATTATCGCAAGACCCTGCTGACGCATGTAGCAAGAGTATCAATACAACAAACAATAAACTGGATGAAATTGGCATCCTAAAGGAACTCGGCATCCTAACGGAGCAAGAAAAAAGCACAAAAAAGGAGGAATCAAGCCATCTTGCATCCATGGCAACCTTGGAATCCAAAATCAACCAGAAAACCCAAGTATACTCGGTTCAACAAATTTCCTCAGAAAACAAGAGTGATACTGCCATGGACCCTGTCATTCAAAAGGAGCACATTGAGGATGAGTTGGAAAAGAACAGTGCCAATGAAGATGAACAAGGTGATAAGGTCCTTTGGTCGGGACAGAACAAGGATCCAGGCATTCTCGATGGTGGAAGAAATCCAGCCGTTTTTGCAATGAACAACACTGAGGATAACAACAACACCTTACCGTCATCCCAAAGTTTGCCAGGACCAAGGGACCAGCCACCTGCTTTTGGTATCCCTGCTGGTTTCCCCGTCATCAGTGTGCCAGGTGCACATCCTGTTTCTAATCCCTTTGGAACTTCCTCACAACAACGGGGAAGTCAGAATACTGCTGTTGACGAAGAGGAAGGAGGAGAAGATTCACCCACACAAACTTTGGCCGAGGCACAACTGGTTGCTGAGGGTGACTTGCCCATTGCCACAGCTGATGGTGGCAATAAGCAGAGATACCGAGGAAACAATTTGCCATTCTGTGTCATGGGAGGAATCTTCTGCATTCTAGTCGTTGCGGCTATTGTTATTGGGGCTGTTTGCAGCACAGGACACTGCAGTCAGAATGAGTACGTGGATGGCAGCAGTACCATAGCACCCACCACAACAAGAGATGCTGTTGATGCACCCAAGATTGAAATTGTTCTGACAAGCCTCCTCGGAAAGAACTACTTTAGACAAGTTGAAGAGGGATATGATAGTGACCTAACTGAATTCATGCTTGAAAGAAGACAGAAAGCATTTGATTGGATTGTCAATCAGGACCCAATGCAGCTAGAGTATGACTCTCCAAATTTGGTTCAGAGATTCCTTTTCGTGCTCTTCTATTACCAAACCACGAGGCACCAACGATGGAAGGAGTGCAATCCACCAGCAACTTCCCAAGGAAGTACATCGGTTAATTTCTGCTATATGCTTGATAGATTGACAGGGGAAACAACAGTGGACATCTGGGGTGATCAGTGGCTCACAAAAAGCCATGAATGCCAGTGGGGTGGAGTGACTTGTGAGACGGTGCAAACAAAGGAGAAGACAGCTGTTGGGGTGTCAGTTCGTAAGTATCATAGGATACACAGGTCGATTATGCCATCGATTTCTAACTATGGAAATTCTTTCTTCAGGGTGGAATCAGCTCAATGGCCCTCTCCCATGGGAGATTGCACAGTTGCCACATCTCAAACAGCTACAGTTGAATTACAACATGCTGAGTGGAATGCTGCCACCCAAGCTTCTCTCCTTTTCATTGGAAGAGCTCATGTTGGGCAGTAACCAACTCTCAGGACCCATCCCTGCTAGATGGTTTGATAATCTCCATGATGGAAACGCAAAACTCACCAGCCTTCAAATCCATAAAAACAGGTTGACTGGAAGTATTCCATCCGAAGTGGGGTTGTTTCCGCTGGAGCTGGTTAATCTGCAGTGGAATCAACTGAGTGGGTCTCTGCCAGTTGAATTCTTTTCCCACACCTCCCTTAGGGGATTATATCTGGGTCACAATGACGTAAGTAGCTGGTCTCTATTGTTAATCACCAATCTGGCTAATGTGACCTGATTTGCTGCTTGGTTCCTCAAAAGCTAACAGGCACTTTTCCAAGTGAATTTGGACTGCTAACAAGTTTGAAGGACTACCTACAATTGGTTCATACCCATATTTCCGGCACCTTGCCCTCAGAGATTGCCCTGCTGAGCACTCTAAAGGAGATTGATTTGTCGTTTACCAACATGCAAGGGACACTCCCTGAAGAAATGTACACTGGACTCACAGACCTTGGTGCTTTTTCTGCCAATAACTGCAACTTTTCTGGGACTATCAGTTCATCGATTGGTCATTTGACAAGTCTACAATTGCTGCATGTGGCCAACAACAACTTCCATGGCACATTTCCAAATGAAATTGAAGAGTTGACTGGCCTGAGTCATCTGGTAGTGAATGGGAATCAGTTCTCCGGCACTGTTCCAATATCTGTCTGCCATGCTGCAGCTTTTGTTGAAAATTTTGGGGGCACCTCTTTGGTTGTGGCTGACTGTTTGCCAAATGCAGAAACTGGAGCTCCGAAAATCGAATGTTCTGCTGACTGCTGCACCAGTTGTTGTGGCGAGACTGGGGTTTGCCTTTCTAACTAGATTCATTGATTGATTGATTGCTCGATTTGTGTGTTCACAGTTCGTGCATTGCGCACGCAAGATGTTTAGCTAGCTGGTCACTTTTCCAATTCCAGCCGATAGGACCAAGAAGGAAGCCCCAATGAGAGGGAGCCTTTCTACATAGCCAGCACCTGCCAGACACGCAACCGTATTGAGCATCACTGTAAATGGGAAAGACAAGGCCACAATATCAAAAGCCAAGTCAGTATCATATCCCTTGACGCCGTTCGCGGCCACTTTGGACATTTGACCAAAAGCAATAATGGAACAGGCGGCATGCGAGGACAGAACGGCCGCCAATCGCGGAGCTGTCCCGACACCACTCAGAAAGATTTTCAGAAATGCTGCCATCGCGAGACTGCAAAAGCCATGCCGAGCCAACAAGAGCTGCAAACACAGCTTGGGACGGTCTCCACCGAATTTAAGCTTGATGCCAATCACAAGAAATAAAATGGCAGTTTGAGCTTGTGCCAGACTGCCCACGGCCTTGCCTGCAAATCCAAGCGTCGAAACGGGCCGCCCAAGCGCTGCGAGAACTAAACCACTGGAAATTGCAAGATTAAATGGATCACCGAAGATTCCTTTGAGACGATTCACCGTGGACGGCTTTTGTTTGGTTGCCTTTGCGTCGGTTGCTTTCTCGGAATCATTGCCCAATGATTCCGACCGGAACCGAAGGTAATATGGGATGAGTAGGAGAGTGTACAGCTTTGTGGGGACATCAGCCAGTGCTGCCAGCCCTGCATATTTAGGACCGACAAACTCTCGCGTAAAGGAGAAAACGCTCAACCCTGGGGCCATGGTCCCAAGCTGAAGAGCAGCCGTTCACCGGCTCGTCTCGTCATTTCTGGGTATGACAAAACGGGACGCCAACTCCCCAGCAGCCAGCTGCGTCAAGGCAAGAAGGAAGCCTGCCAACAAGACTAGACCCATTTCAGCAGAGAAGCTGAGGCTGCTGAGCGATGAAACAATCACGGCAGGAACCAATGCATTCAAGAGTAGCGATGTGATCGCCTTGGCGTCAAGCTTGTCCCGAAGAGCTGCTCCAATCACTGCCAGGACTCCCAGCTCCAAGACTTTTTGCACTCCGGAGCTTTGTAACGCTGTGTGGATTGTTGGTATAAGCGAAAAGGAGTGGAGTGACGTTGAAGTGACATGTTGGCGGTTTTTATTTCTTGGTTGCAGTTTTCTCTTGGATGTTGAGATGACAATGTAGATTTCTAGATCCCAGTGTCATTGAGGCAACTAGTCTCCTCTATCCTCTAGTTCTACTAAGGCAAAGCTTCAATCAATTCAGCTAGATTAGAAGAAAACTATGAGCCATTCTGAACTTTTCCAATTCCATGAATGGTGGGGATCCAGTCCTATTCTGCCAGTTCTTGACAGGGTCATCCTGGACTGGTTGACTCCCAACACACTCCTGCACATCCAAGGTGCCTTGCATCGCGGAGGTGTCACTCATGGGCATATTGAGGATCCAAGCTCGATGCTGTCGAAACTTCCCACCCTGCAACGGCTTCGTGAAGAAATCTCCTCTCATGTCGTTGGTGTTACAGTATTCGATAGACAGCTCGTTGTTTCCTATTCTGTCTGTCACAAAGTAGTACCTCACATTGATGTGTCGGGTCCTCCTTCCACTGGAGGCCCTGCCATTTCTTGCCAGTAGCATCGTGCTTTGGTTATCTTGGTACACGATATTGTCTCCCACCGAGTAGCCTTGTGCTTCCAGGAAGTATCGTGTCCACAGCACCATCGGCATAGCGTCGTCCACTCCTACCAACTCAGCCTCTGTTGAACTTTTCGTGTTGAGTTTTTGTCGAGTAGATGAGGAGTAGACGCTTCCTTTTCCCATTGACATAGTCCATCCGGTCTGACTGCGCATATCTTCGTGCACTGCATAAGACGCATCCACCCACCATTTGATTACTGTCAAGTTGTCGGCTTCGAGGGTCAGGAACAGGTGTGGATTATCACGCAGGTATTTCATTACTCGCGATAGCTTCTTGTAGTCGTCCACATCAGGTCCTTTCACTCGTGTGGTCAGGAATGCGACTGCCTGCTGCAAGTCTGGTCTTGCTCTCTTAGACACAAAGAGCAGCTTGGCCACCATAGAATGAAAGTACTCTGCATCTGTTGTCCCCAATTGCATAGCTTTTGGGTCAATGTCGAATAGGTGATCTGCAGCCGGTGTAGCTGCCACTCCTGCCATGTCCTCTCGGGCCTCTTCCAGGATCTCATCGGCGTATTGGTCCATCTTGATCATGACTTTACCTTCCGTGCTGTAGTCAATGGTCATTCCAAGGTAGTCGTGTACCTTTCCACGGGTGACGGTGAGGGGTGCCTCTTTTCCGTATCTTGCATTCAGAGCATCGAGGATTCGGTCCACCACTGCCGAGTCCACGTGTGATATCTTGAGGTCATCAACGTGCCAGAGGATGGTGCATTGTTTGCCATCTATGACGGCGTTCGCGACACAGTCATCGTATGGATTCCTGACAAATCCTTCCGCTTCGAGGAATCCAACCAGATCTTTCCAGAACAGCAATGCCGCTTGTAGGGTCCCATACAACGCCTTTAATAGCTTCACGTAGATGACGGGCTTTCCTTTCTCGTACACGATGTATTTGTCATAGGCTTTGTTGTCGACCTTGGCCAATAGGAGCGCCAGTGGTCCTGTAAATCGAACATGGACATGTTCATCCATGTCTGCCTGCATGAAGGCTCCGGGTATATCTGCGGTAGCAACGTCTCTTTTCTCCGTTGCGTCGATCACACATGAGAGGAAGAGCGACTCGGTCATCACGGTTGGGGAACTAGTTTCGTGCTTGCTTTTGTATACGCGTTGCTTCCTTCCATCTGCACATCCGCGTCCTTTGATCTTCCCGCATCGTTTCTTCTTGAGGAACATGAGATACTCGAGTGATTTCCTTTTCTCTTCTTTGCGTGAGCATGTTTCCTCTCACTGGTTCTCCCACTTTGCGATCGTGTAGCTGTTTCATCTCACTGATCACTGCTTCGGCTCCGGCATTACCAAACACCTTGAGGCCTTTGTTGATTGAGTATTGTGTGAGAGCCACATGTTCAAGAAGAAATTGGGTCATCACTACCTCGGATGGAGTGCCAGGGTCCGCCATGTATTGTGCCATCGTATGGTCGCTTGGTTGTTGCAGATGAAGGTGTTTGTCGTATTTCCTTTGTTTTCTCTCCCTGAGCCCTGCTCTGGTTCTTGATCCATATGTTGCATCCATTTGTTCAGGCTGCACTCCTGTGATTTGCGCCGACCTCCTAGTTCGGTGTTGTGTTGACTCAGTCACTGAGTCCTCTTCGTCGTCCGTATTCTGCGGATCGTCCGCAACTTGCGGTTCATCTTCCTCGTCGTGGTTGATTGGTGGGTCTTCCTCGTGTCCGAAACTGTCTTCATCAGTTCCGTCGGAGTCCCCTTGTTCGTCATCAGCGTCATCGCCGTCATTGTCGTGATTATTTGATCCTTCTTGGATTGTTTCCAGGTGGGCGTCGTCGTTACTGCCTTCTTCCTCCGACGTGCCATCCTGATGGTTGTTGTTGCTTTCGTCTTCACTGCTTTCGAGAGCGTCCAGCTCCTCAGCATCGATTCCTCCCTCGATTTGGGAATGGAAGTCGTCCTCTGTTGTTGGTCCTCCAGCCTCATCGGTTGGGTGGTAATCGGGATCAGCCATGGGATCATCTTCGTCTTCGTCTATGACTCAGTGGCATCAACGCATCGAGTGAGACCGCAGAACTTCTCCTGTTGGGCTAGTGCATGTACCCTAGCGATCACGTCTGTGGGCATTGGGAGTTCGGTCCAGCGCTTCCTGTGGATCCGATGTCCGGTTGTCAAGTTAAGAAAATAGTAGCTCCCTTGCGACCCATTCGATGGCCGAAGTGCGATTGCTCCTATGGTTCTGGAACCCATTCCATTATCGTGTTCTTCGTGTGTCTGGACATAGGTGCCACACTCCAATCGACAGTGCGTCTTGTAGTCCACGTGTGTTCCTGTCACCAGGGTCCTTGGGCTGATTGTTGCCGATGCACTGTTCTGTGGTGGGAACATGTTTAACCACATCATGGCATTGGTTACCATTTCGATGATGAATCTTGATGTCAACTGCTTGAACGGCATGACGTTCCACATGGCTCTGACTCTTTCCTTGATGGTTCGGATGAAGCGTTCTATCTCAGGGACGTGCTCGTCTTCAGCCACTGTTTGCAGATCAATGTGTTTTGTCGAGTCGCTGTCCAACAGGACCGATCTCATTGGTTCGAACTCTCCATCGGCATGGATTTCCTTGAGCTTGAACCCTCGCCGAGTGTACAGTTGATTGACCTTTCGTATGCCGTCGGCGATGGTTGGTATCTGTCGGTTCGGTAGATGCTGTATGGTTCCGAACCGGATTCCATGTGATATCGTCACTAGGAAGGGTATTTTGTTGATGAACATGATATCCAGTGCTAGAGTCACTGCCTGGTATCGTTCCATGATCTGTGGTGGGATTGGCGTGACCATTCCGACTTCTACACCGGATGGATGCCTTACGGTCTTCCCTTTCAACGAACCAAGGTTTGGTCCGAATATGTCTTCAGCTGCCATCACGTCCATGCGATTGACTGGGCAGTTCGGTAGTAGGTTGTTGTCCAGTATCTTAAGATAGTCGCGGAGAGATGGTCGTCCTATCATATTTTGGATCTTACGAGCTAGTTCAGCTTTCCTGTAGGCGTTAACAGAGTAATTAGAACGTTTATCAGCTACAGTGTTGATCAGTGCCACGGCGATCTCATCACTCCTGTCTTTTGCATCGGTATCCGCCGTGGCCGCATCTGTTGTTGCTGTCGTTGTGGAGCCCTTGCCTCAGAGTAAAACAGTCCATTGGGTGCTCGGATGAATTCTCTGTTACCAGAATCCTTGTGGACCGTGAAGACACCCGGCGAGTACGTGATTGGGTAGTGTTCCTCCACTCTTGCGAATGAGAGGATATTTGCCACCCCATCTTCAAAGAACCAAACTGGCTCCGGGTATCCTGGAAGGTCTCCGATCAGGTTTGTTGTCGCTAGCCCAGCGTTGCATTGAACCCTCATGCTGTTGTTGCTCCTGCGGATATTCTTGAGCAGCTTCCTGTTGCAGAAGATGTTGACCGTGCTGCAGTTGTCGAGTAGGATCCAGTGCCTTGGGATTCTGCGCTTCGCGTTGATCAACGCTATGTTTACGTGGAAGGAGAAGTCGGACAGCTCTCCATCCTCGTATGCGTCCATGAGCAACGTCACTCCATTCGCGTCGGTATCTGTTGTTGCGTTTCCTGGGCACTTGTTCGCGTAGTGCCCGTGCCTGTGGCAGTTGTTGCACTCGATGTGTGCATACGTGCGGCCATTTGTTCCTGGCACGACTTCTTCGCCATCTGTGGCGAATGAGACTTCGCCGGTCATTGTTCCACCCATGTTGTTGGGCCTGGATCTGCTCTTGCAGTGGTATCCGTCAAGTCTCGCATATGCGTCAGCAAGGGTCTTTGGGTAGTTGTCGTCTCCTCGAGTGAATTCGTTCTCGAGGTCTATGAGGAGGTCAGAATACCTTCCTTGGTCAGAATTCGACAGGAACATTGTGGCCAGAGTCCATTCGCGGACGATCTTCATTGCCGCGTTGACCTCGTCGATTGTTGCTTGTTCCATGGTCGTTCCTGTGGGCAAAGCTGCCTGGAGGAGGCTCGTTTCGTATCCAAAGGATCCTCCATTGTGTTCGGTGGCCTCCACCTTCTGTTTGAATAGTCTGTAGTGCTCCTCTGCTGACTTGTCCCCTTGTCGGAATGTCATGGCTCTCCTCTTGCTCTCTAGGATGGCTAGAGGTTGATATTTTCGGGTCTGGAACTGTAGCATCACACTTCTGATCGCCTGTAGCAATCCAATCACATTGGCTGCCTGGTTGAGTGCCGCTAGGTCAACACTTGCCTTCACTTTGGCTCGTAGTGTATCACTGCATTGCCCCCAGATCAGTGAGAAAGCATTCTGCCTGTTCTCCTTTATCTTGTCAGTTCCTTTGACGTAGCTGGCCACTTCCTGTTTGAAGATAGCCAGGTCGACGGCGTCAGTTGATGGTGTTGTCCCATCTGGTTGCATGGGTAGGGTTGGCCTAGTCACGTTTTGTGCGGTGAGTGTTTCAATCTCCAACTTCGTGTGGTTGCCCTTTCCGTAGGTCCTTCCAACGAGCTCTGCAATCTCCATGGTTGTGTCATAAAACGCTGCTGCTGTAGCGGTTGGTGTGGTGAGGTCATAGACGTGCCCTTCAAGAGCTGCGGACTTCCCCGTGAATTTCTTTGTAGACGGTGCTTGGGATGGCTGTCTTCTGCCACCAAAGCGTCCACCCCTACCTCCTCTGCCACTCCTGCCACCACTGCGTCCTGCAGATGATGGAAGAGTGGTGATTCCTGACATACTGTCAGCGCCGCCCGCAGTGCTTCCAGCTGCGGTAGCTCCACCTGCTCCGGACACTCCGGATCCAGCGGTGGAACTCATTGTCACCGATTACCTATCGGTATCTACTTCTCTGTAGTTTTCTTCTAATGTTGAGATGACAATGTAGATTTCTAGATCCCAGTGCCATTGAGGCAACTAGTCTCCTCTATCCTCTAGTTCTACTAAGGCAAAGCTTCAATCAATTCAGCTAGATTAGAAGAAAACTATGAGCCATTCTGAACTTTTCCAATTCCATGAATGGTGGGGATCCAGTCCCTATTCTCCAGTCTTGACAGGGTCATCCTGGACTGGTTGACTCCCAACATTGGACCCTGCTCCATGATGGAAGCTACCGGATCGGGTGCTAAAGGAATGGACTTTCCAAGCAATAGGTGTAAAAGCCGAAGCCGGGACCACCACGAGGATGATAAGGAGGAGCCTCTTCAGCATCTCTCTGTTTTGGGTTTGCATGGCTGTGCCCGAAACCGTTGGCAAGGCGGTGTCAAGCCGAAGCTGCCAGATGATTGAGATTCCAGAATATAAGCCAGTGATACTGGCAAGCGCGTCGAAAGAGGTGAACTTCTGAGTCCCCGGTTCTATGCATACATAGCCAGCTGCCGTTCCCATGGAAGCATCAATGGGGAGCCTTGAAGCTCTCAACCATTGATGAGAGCATGTATCTGAAGAAAAACGTGGACGTTTGTACTGTATCAGCATCTGTTTCCTACTCCTTGATAGCTGTCCGAGGAGAGGACTCCTTTCAGATTGAAACATGGGAAATTTTCCTGACACTCATCTTGTGTTTGAGACTGCAGGCATCATTATTTATTTGCGAAGCCAAATGGAATGGTACGTGGGTCTTCCAGGCTGACTGCGATGGCACCACCACGGAGGCTGCTACATCCTTTACAGCTGGTGCCTGTAGAGTAGCCATGATTGATGAATCGATTGGAGGCTCAATCGTTGCAAACAATCCTAGCATGAATCAAATCTTCAGATGCACCTGTCGATGCCGGGTTTGTCAAAGGCACACTCAATTGTAGTGGAACAAGGGGGAGTTTCCTATGGTTCCTTGAAACTCTACGATGGAGGCTCTGGTCAGGATTTTGTTATAACACTGATTCCTCCTTGGGGGGGGCACTAACAGTTCCTTCCATAGTGTAACAACGGAATAATGATTTGGAGCGGCTCTTTTAATGTCAATTGAGCGCAAAATAGGTTTTCTATTAAGACAAGAAGTGCTATACGGGAATTTGAGGGTTTGGACCGTACTAGCGTAGCAATAAAAAAGAAAATCATACATCAGAGATTATCCGATACCTGTTATTGCAGCTTCTATTCTACCACTCTTTTGGTCATGGGTCTCCTCTCCATCTACCGTCATCTTTGCTATGTAACTAGAATCCTCGAGTGATGGTACAAGCCTTCCAGCGACTACAGTCAACTCCCGGCTCGGAACTTCCACAGACACGTTCTAAGCTTTTCCCAAAGCAGCATCCCGAGTCCCCACAAGCGACAAGACATCCATTCTTTTCATCTGCAGTAGTTGTATCCAGCGACAGAGAATCGGGGCAAGCCGCCACAAGGGCTGGATCGGTGGTTTCGTCGATTCGTGGAGTATAGAGCACCGGCTCACATGCACTGTAATCCTCGCAGGGGAAATCATCGTCGCATCCGTTGCCGTCCACATTGAAACAGCACTCGCTTCCTTGGCAAGCCGCTTCGCACAGATCAAAGTAAAAAGGCAGGCACACTTCATCAATCTCTTGTTGCGTTTTGTACACGACAATGGGTATTGCCTCTGCTGCTGTTGTATTAGTAACATTGGCAGCAGGGGCCGGTGTATTGCTGTGGCCAGGCAACGCGTGTGGAGGAATAACTCCGCCAACGGCTCGGCTCTGACACTGTGAAGGCAACAAAGCCAAGTACAGAATGAAAGCTTGGGATGAAAGGGATTTCATCGCTGTTCTTTGAATCGAAGAGTGTGAGAAGTGACAAGTCGAGCAACTTTGTATTGGAAATGTGGCTGGGGTATGATGGTTACGAATGACAGTCACATCTTTGCTGTTGGTTGCTGTCGCTCGCCTTTGCTTTCGGCTGGTTTTCACTGGGTTTGGTTCCGCCTGGGTCCGTGGACATCTCACTTTTTTGGGTTTGTCCCCCGGCTTGGAACTGTATGACGTCACTGAAAAAGTCCTTTTCCACGATGAGACGCACACCACGATCCATCCACCAAAAACCTTTGCTCCACCGCTGCAGCGAAAGGAGGACCAGTACCATTATATTGCTACTGGAGCGTTCCTCAATCGTGCATGAAACCGACCCTAAAATAGGGTCGGATTTAGGGTCGAATTCCCTTTAGGGTCGGGTTTCGAAACCGACCCTAAAAATAGGGACGTTTTCTGAAAAATAGGGACGGTTTCTGAAAACCGTCCCTAATTTAGGGTCGGGTTTCGTTTTAGGATTCGGTTTGAAAAACGTCCCTAAATAGAAACGGGACTGCCTGGTAAATACATTGAAAACGCACCAATATTAGGGTCGGGTTTCGAAACCGACCCTAAAAATAGGGACGTTTTCTGAAAAATAGGGACGGTTTCTGAAAAAACGTCCCAAATTTAGGGACGGGTTTCGATTTAGGGTCGGGTTTCGAAACCGTCCCTATATTTAGGGACGGATTCCCCCAAACCGACCCTAAATTAGGGTCGGATTTAAAGTCATGCACGATTGATGAACGCTCCTGGAATCTTCATTTTAAAACAACAATTGATCACTTTACACTACATGTACTACTGGACTACTGGTACTAGACTTCACTTCTGATTTGCTCGTTCGCAACAATTGTACAGCATGGTTTACCACGCAAGGCTTCACTGCATCTTAGCCCTTTTCAAAATGTTCATCATCATCATCATCATCAACAAGCACGCCTTGCTGGGCCAAGAACAGGTCGCGGCGGAATGGGAAAAGTGTGGGATAACCACCTTCGCCAGGTGAAAATGGCCAGGAGGTGGGTTCAGCAGTTGACCTCCTCGTTGGATCAGCAGTTGGCCTCCGTGTTGGCCTCCTGTTTGGCCTCCGTGTTGGCTCCCTTGTTGGCTCATTGGTTGGTCTGGCTGTTGGGTTTCTGGTTGGGCTCTTAGTGGGCGATAATGCCGTTGCAGCTGCCGAGTCTCCCCTCCCTACTACTAGGGTTGCCTTTGGGTCGGCGGAAGTGACATTACCAAAACAAGGATGCCAGGAAGAATTGTTGCCTCCAGTGTAGTTTCCATTCTTATCATCATCATCATCATCATCATAGTAGTTGGATGAATTGTTACTGGTCGTGTTCTTACTGTGGTCAAGGAAGTTTTCATCACACAATGAAGGAGCCGTGTTGTTGCGGGGCGTAGGAATGTTCTCCACCAGCTTATCACTGCGTGGTGGCAGCACACTGCGGATCTCCTCCGCATTCGCACCAGTGCGTTGCTGCCATGGTGACAAGAAGAAGATGCAAGCACTGCTCACAACCAAGAAATGCGCAAGGGAAGACGAGTTGGCTGATGCCACCAGCAACTTCTTACCTGAAGGCGCCATTTGCGCAAAGAAAGAAAGAGAGAAACCAGGGCTGGAACTACCCGTACCAATGGATCGCGCTTAAATTCGTGCACCGGGGTGCACGCCGTGGAAGATTTGTGATTGCACCGATTGGATTGTGATTTCATCCTGGTGGCCCTTTTTCAATCTACTTGCTACGGTAGGGTTCCGGTACCGATCATGGATGGGAGGCCCCTTTTTCAATCTACTTGCTACGGTAGGGTTCCGGTACCGATCATGGATGGGAGGTCCAAAAATTGGGAGGCCAAAGTTGTTGTCGACCGCCCCTCTTTCCTTTTGGCCACTGTTTCGTCTGTCATGGCGGTCCGGGAAACTGCTCTGCACGATCGCCCCAGCTTCTCTTGTGCAAACTGTGAAAAGCTACATAACACGCATTTTTGTCTGATGTGGTCACTTCAACCATAATGGTGCATGGATTAGCGTTGCTTCTCATTGGTCCTACTAGCAAACCTCGCTGGAGATCTGAACCCGCAAGTTGCCACACCAAACACATCATCCACTCCAGAGCAACAGGTCAACAGAACACTCGAACGACTGCTCCCTCCTTCAAAGCACCCATCGCTGACCTGCAAGCTAGCTAGTTAGAAAGCAAGCCCCAGCCCAGAAGCTCTTCTTGGTAGAGGCGACCAAGGGTTACTAATTTGACACAAGACGACAATCATCTACTCGCTAGCTAGACAACAATCAATACAAGAGACAGACTCTCCATCAGACAGAATGTTCTTTTCTACGTGTAGGAGTAGACCAGTGTGGTTGTCGCTGTTAGCGGCGAGCATAATAGGCTCAGCCAGTGGGCAGACTGAACCGGTAGGTACTACTGTACACAAGTGTACTCGAAGGAAGGTCCTCTCTTCTTTCTAACACGGATCTATTCTATCATGTATGTCTATTATGTATATATCATACTATCATACTATAGCGCCCCTGGATTAACGAATTCCACTACGACAATATCGGTACCGACATTGACGAGTTTATCGAAGTCGCGGCTCCCGCCGACTTGGATATTAGCAATCACCGAATTGTTCTCTATAATGGCTTTTACGGAGAAATGTACGCGGAAGATGCCACCCACATGTTGTCGGATTTTACCGTGGGCGATACGGTCAATGGCGTGACATTCTATACCAAATTCTTTCGTCCCGCCGATTGTGCCGGTGGGAGTCGCTGGTGTGGATTGCAAAATGGCCGCGATGGTTTTGCGTTGGCGTATTTTGAAACCGACACGACGGGACGGATTGAAGAGTTCTTGTCGTACGAAGGATCCTTCACGGCCAAAGATGGACCGGCGGTCAATTTGACCACGACCGATATCGGTGTCAAACAACGCACTACCACGCCACTGGGATACTCCATTAGTCGAGAAGGAATTGGTTGTGCACCAGATCTCTTCTTTTGGGAAACACGAGACACACAAGGAACTCCCGGAACGGTCAATGCCAAACAAACCGTCACGTGCGAGGTGGTCTTTATCAATGAATTCCATTACGACAATGTCGATGGCGGAGTGGGACAATTCGTCGAAATTGCCGCCAATGTCGACGACGTGGCGCCCTACAGTATTGTCTTGTACAATGGAGAAACGGGAATGCCCTACGATGCCATTTTGCTTTCCAGTTTTGAACAGGGTGACACGGATCCGGAAGGGTTGACATTTTATCATTATGATTTCCCAGTGGCCGGCGGTGGACTCGTTGTCAATGACCCCATCCTGGTCGATGGCAATGAAATGGCGGCGAATGCATCGGGGATTGTACTCGCCCAGAATGATGACATCGTATTGGAATTTATCTCGTATGGAGGAGAATTCACTGCCAGTGGAGGCATTGCCGTCAACATGACATCGACCGATATTGGTGTGGCCGAATCGGATCAAACTCCCGTCGGATCGTCACTCCAGTTGCAAGGCGTGGGATGTTACACGACCAATTTCCAATGGACCGTCGTGGAGGAACAAAACTTTGATATCGTCGAATCGGGAGATACCCGGGGAGCCGTCAACATTGATCAAACCATTGTCTGCGCACAACCCGTGCCCACACCAGCGCCCACTGTCGAAGGAGGAGAGGAAGTCGATGATTTGATTGCCCAAGACGATGACTTTTTGGATGACAATATCCAAGTTCTCGCCGTCACAAAGTCACAAAGTAAAGTGACCTATTCGGAAGCGGGAAAACCACCAGAGCCTGTGAGGTTCTAATTAGTTCGTGGTGCAGTGCAGTACAGTGCAGTGCAAGCATGCATGCTGGAGTGAGAAAACAGTCAAGGTGTGCTTTTTGATACTGGTACTGTTCGTTAACGAGAGCAGAACCATTGTCTCTTGAAGTAAAAGGGTTGGTCGGCGACGAGCGGAACGTCGTTTGTAACAAGGAATGCATGTTCAGTAGAGATTAATTAATTTGAAGTATTTTCAACGAGAATACTGTACTGCGCAACGATACATGCACACAGGCTCACGGCCCGTAGATAGCTACGGTAGCTTGCTAGGTATCATCGAGCCACGAGTACAACACGGCACCGGTATTGGTCCATGCAGTCGAGGTATTGGTTCGGGAGGAGTCCAATGTAGGTCCTCGATTTGTGGAGGACCTTCTAAAGGTCTACTCGAGCGTGGATCGCAACTGAAGTTGGAGAAGAGTAAACGGAGGGTCGGGCAACCAATTGGAGGGTAGTAAGGACTTGTCAAATGAGAAGGAGGATTGTAGCTACAGTAAATTCTTGATTGGCTACAATACGTGCTAGGTAGTCACGTTACAAAAGGAAGTGCTTCGGTCAAGGGAATGGGAGGCTTTGCGTTTCCGATTTGGCGGACTTTTGGCTGAGAGCTTGCCCTTGTTCTTGTCTTCATTCAAAGCTTGATTACTCCATTTGCCAGGTGCCTCCCGCAAGAGCCCATTGAGAGTCTGGACAGTTGATTGGGCATTCATGTGACGCGACTCTCTCCTGCCAGGGCCATGGGAGCTGCTAATAATACAGTCTCTATACCTTGATGTTGTCAGCAAGTCCAACAGATCGACAATAGTTCGAAGTGTCGTTTTTGGGTCCGTAGACTTCTACAGGGCCTTCTAAGTAATGCGCGCCGGGTATAATTCAAACCTCTGCCCCCATCGGTACCATTACCCCTAAAGCAAATCGTCTCCAGGAGACGAAACAAGATGCCCCCGGTTGCGCCAACCACGGAAATAGAAATAGCAAAAAGGGCTGTCACTTGATTGGCAAATAGCTAATACTTACTGCCATGGGCTCCCAGAATGTATACGTGCTTTAGATAGCTGTTGCGTAATGGTTTAATCTACCTAAACCCCTGTTTATATTATTGAGGAGTAGAGTTTGGTTACATCTGGCCGGTAACGCGTAATGGTCTAATCTACCTAAACCCCCGTTTATATTGAGGAGTGGAGTTTGGTTACATCTGGCCGGTACCACGTAATGGTCTAATCTACCTAAACCCCCCTTTATATTGAGGAGTGGAGTTTGGTTACATCTGGCCGGTACCGCGTAATGGTCTAATCCACCTAAACCCCCCTTTATATATATTGAGGAGTGGAGTTTGGTTACATCTGGCCGGTACCGCGTAATGGTCTAATCTACCTAAACCCCCGTTTATTTTGAGGAGTGGAGTTTGGTACATCTGGCCGGTACCCGTAATGGTCTAATCTACCTAAACCCCGTTTATATTGAGGAGTGGAGTTTGGTTACATCTGGCGGTACGAGCAGCTTCGATTTTATTGATTCAAACGCGTGCCGCATTTCTGGTACAGTTCACAGAGCTCATGTAGAAGTGTACGAAAAGTGTGGCGCGCGTTTGAATCAACAAATCGAAGCTGCCTGACCACGGTAATGGTCTAATCTACCGAAACGCCCCTTTATATTGAGGAGTGGAGTTTGGTTACATCCGGCCGGTACCGCGTAATGGTATAATCTAAATAACCCAAGTTTTAACCATACCATACGGGTGCTTGCACAGTTACGGTACCGGTATTATCGGTCACATTGGGTTGAGAGGGGCTTGGATTCTGTCACTAACAAATAACACGGAGGAAAGTCGGCCCGCCTCACTCTGAGGTTTGAATGGCTATTTAAATAGTTAAATGCCATTTACTAGTCTCATCCCTAACTAAGAGGGGCTCAACTGGCACTCTAACCAGTACATGTACTAGTAACACACTCGGAACGATCCGAGCCACTCGTATATGGTATCCTCCTCTTTTTCATTATTTCGTTCGATAAATCTATTGGCTCTATCAAAATGATGCTATCTCCTCTTCTTTACAGCGGCTACTCCTCTTTCATGGCTACTAATACTCCCTACCATGTCGGGCTCCTCTTGTTTGGTTGGTAGTGGTAGCGGCAGCCGTTCGATCGTTCGACGGATCGAGTTGAGATCGATGACACCATGAAGCCTCCTTTTCCACGGAGCGGCCGATGACGCCTCCTCTTCCACGGAGCGATGCCTGCATGCAACAAGCAGCTACTGCTCTATAATATACTCGTATGCCGGAGCGATCTTTTGGAGTGATGAATATGTTTGTGGTCAGAGCGAAATTTTCCATTCCATTCGACGGATCGTTCGACGGATCGTTCGACGGATCGTTCGACGGATCGCTACTTACTTTGCAATGGCCATGAAGTCTTGAATTCATTTAATTCCGCTTCAGCATGCGAATGTGAGCCGTCTCGATCTCTGAGTCCTTCTGCGTCCGAGGCATTGTTGCTATGCTACTGTCGTCAAGCCCTAACAAAATGTCGTCCGTTTTGTATCCAGTTCAAGCAGAGGCTCGGGGATACCTATGTGGATGCATGTGCAGAGTTGGATCCACTTTGGTGATGATGTTGCATTTGGCTCTGGTCAACTCCATGGCAATTGATGGGGGTGGAGCTACATTTTCAAATGGTTTGCCTCAATCCACTGCAGTGTTTACATCTAAACTTCACTCCATAAACTCCAAAGATGTCATGCTGCTTACTATAGAATTTTCAGTACTAACATTGCTACCGTGCTTTATCTAGATACGGACTGTGAACCCAATGTGGGTACGGTGCATAAGTCAAACTCGGCTAACTCGGCTAACCCTAACCCTACAAAAAGGACCAAAAAAAGGGACGACCACAACAAAATTCTAACCCAGCCAACTCCGTGGTTGGCGATTCCACGTACCAGGGGAAGTCACACTCAGAGCACTAGCGAGTCTGCATAGCCAGCCAGTACTGGTACCCATGCGTAGAAACTACTGTGTCCAACAGAACACACAAGATTAATCCCTATCCTTAACGAGCGACGAAAACAGCTGCAACAAACACACACACAAACACACACACACACATACGTACAGCGATAAAAGTGTGAAAGACCCTCAGTCCATTGAGGGCAAAAGCAATCATAATAACAGCAATACCATACCGTACGGTACCAGCCCAGTCACTCCAGTCACACTAACTAGTACAGTCGTACGACTCGACTCGACTCGACTCGACTCGACTCGACTCGACTCTATCATGTCGTTCCTGTTTCCGTTAGAATCTTAAACCTAAGGGAAGCGTATGTCATTGTTATCTTTCGCAAGTCCAGAAATTGGCCAAAATTTCCGAGCCTCTTTTGATTCCTTCTGTTTCTGATCTTGCTCTTCGATGCTACTGTATCATAGCTACCGGTAGCAACAGGAGACTGTTTCTCGTCAATCGTATCCATCCATCCATCCATCCCATCCACCATGACAGCCACCACCCCTCCTGTGATTTCCTTGTCATCTCCAACGGCCGTGTCGGAGATTGCGTCTGCCTGTTCTACCTGGGGTGGATTTGTGCTGGTACATCACGGCTTGGATTCTGCGCTGTTGGATCAAGTGCTGACGCTGGGTCATCAGTTTTTCGATTTGCCCTTGGAGATCAAGGAAAAGTACAACCTGCAACTCCACGGCGCCAAATGGCGGGGCTACATGCCATATGGAGGAGAGCGATCTTGTGGCGGCCAACAAGAAGATGCCAAGGAAGGACTGTACTTGGGGGATGAGCATCCCAGCGACCACCCCCAGTTGGGCCTCCCCACTTTTGGCAGCAATGTGTTTCCCAATGAGGAGATTCCCGCAATGAAAGACGTCTATGTCGAATACCACAAACAAATGAAAGAGTTGGGAAATCGCATGATGCGAGTCTTGGCGACAGGTCTGGAATTGCCCGAAGATACCATTGAACAGAATGTCACGCAATACGATCCTGTCATTTTGCCACGTGCATTTAGCTACAAGCCGCAGCAGGCCGAGCAAGAAGGACAACAATGGGGCATTGGAGAACACTCGGACTATGGACTTTGGACCATGATCTTGACCAATGCGCCTGGCTTGGAATTCCAACATCCAGAATCCAAACAGTGGTGTGCCGTGCCCTTTGTCCCGCATGGCATTATCATGAACGTGGGTGATGTCCTCGATCGATTGACTGGTGGAAAGTTCATTTCACCCTTTCATCGAGCCCGTAACTTGTCTTCGACCGAGCAGCGACTCTCCTTGCCCTTTTTCTACGATCCCAGTTGGACGGCCAAAATGACCGCACTCCCATTGCCCGATACCCAAAATGACACCCAACAACGTGTCCAAGAACGATGGGCCAAAACAAAGATCCGATGCCAATTCGATGGATCGGTCGAGTACTCGGAATTTCTTGCCAAGAAGGTGGCCAATGTATTCCCCGACTTGATTCCCGAAGCGCATTGGAAGCACCTTCAATCCACCTCGGAACCATCCACGCGACATGTGCTGGTTGTGGAAACTCCCGATGCCAGTATTGCTGGAAAGGTTCGGGAACGAGTCATCCAATTCTATCACGACCATCAAGGACACATCAAGGAGTCGCATGGCATGAAGCATATCCGGCGGGTCTATGAGCATGCGACCAAGGCGGTGCACGCCCATGTACCCCCCTTGTCGTCGCAACAATCCATGTTGGTGCTGGTGGCGGCCCTCTTGCATGACGTGGACGACACCAAATACTTTCCAAGCCATACAAACTATGAACACGCCCGTCAAATCATGTCCCACGTGGAGGGACTGCAGGAACAGCAGCAACAAGATGCCGTAGTGGAATTGATTTCCTACGTGAGCTGCAGCCAGAACAAGAACCGTGTCCCCCCAGCGGTGGCAGCCAACAATGCCTATTGGAAACTCATTCCTCGCTATGCCGATCGTCTGGAAGCGGTGGGCCGTATCGGAGTGGTGCGGTGCTACCAGTACAACTGCGAAAAGGGACAGTTGCTCTCCAGTGAGAATACGCCTTGTCCGCAAACCGAAGAGGATGTGTGGAAACTGGCGACTCCCCGGCGATTCGAAGCCTACAATGGCGACAGCGACGATATGATTTCCCATTACTACGACAAGCTCTTGCATGTGGCGCGTCCTCCCCCCAATGTGGTGCGCAACTCATACTTGGAAAAGAGGGCTTTGGCTTCGTCCAAGGAGTTGGTGGAGGTTTGCTTGCGCTATGGCCGAACGGGTGTGGTGGATGAAGCATACATTCGAAGTCTTGCCTATTAATAGTTAGTACCAATTAATTAATTAAAGCTTTTAGTATTATAGCCAGGTTGTTTTCTACTTAAAAATCAGGTCGAGGATTTTTGGCGCCATTTATTCAGACGTGCTTTAGTCTTCTTTTCAAGTCGGCCGAGCCTTCTAACGGGTTAACCGAGGGCACATTTTTTTGGATCCAAAGGAGAAGTGGGTTGCAATTCAACAAAAAAGTTGATGCTTCGCCTTTTGGCTCATCGCGAAGCTTTTCTCGTAGGATCGAGTCTGGAGACGACTTGGCGATGCCGTACAATGTGCTTCGAATGGTCTCCCACGTAAACTGGCACGTGATCCCATTGACGGGGATGTCTTTCATGAACTCGATCGCAGCAGGCGAGAACTCTGTTGGAGTGACGGCCTCTCGGACTTCGTCGGATGGCAGTTGCAGGAACAACTCTCCTACCGTATTCGTGACGCAGTTGGCTCGCATACAAGCATAGAGAATCTCACACACTTGCATTGCAACAAGATCTTCCATTTCTCCGTCATGACTATTGTGTGCGGCCAACCCTGGGAGTTCGAGATTCAAAATGTCGGTGACAAGCTGTCGCGGGACCGAGCCTCTTACTTCTTCCATGTCGAGCATCCTCGCAATGAATACAAAGCCTTGCCGAGAAGCGCGAGTTGTACAGTGTCTTGACATGCCTTGCTTGTGCGATCCATCCTTGTACACAGCCACATAGTTTCCAGCCCCATTGTCGGTCAAGTCGCATGGCTTCCAGTCTGGTGCACGGGCGTCGTTTTCATTTCCATTTGTGTCGTAGATCGCAGAGACATGATCGCAGAGCAGATGGAAGACTTCACAGAGTTTATACTGTTCTTCCATCGTTTCGGCCTTGAAAAAATGTCCATCTAGGTGGAGCTTGGTACGAAGATTGTCGACGCATTCATCGTAGCTCAAAATCTCAGGTTCCTCCAACTCGTACTCCTCGCCCTCCCAATTGATGATGAAAATCTTCTTCATTGTGCCTTGCCTTGCCTTGCCTTGCCTTGCCTTGCCTTGCGTCGGTCGCTCTCTCTCTCTCTCTCTCTCTTTCTGGACACAAGAGCAAGTAGAAGCACTTGATAGAGTTGGATCAACAAGCAACCAAAGAAGAAACAAACTCTGCACCTAACAAGTGCTGTGGTTGTCTCGAAAATGGAGACTTCAATGGTGTGCTTTTCCCGAAAAAGAGCTCGAATCTTTGATCACTCACTTTTCTTCCCTCGTTTGACTCGACTCGACTCGTCACTCATTTTAAAACCGAACTGTGACTGAGGTGAAGTCGGCCGAGCTTCAATTCGTAACCGGCACCACATTTTGACACATTTTGAGTGTGAAACAGAACTCCCGCGTTAGAGCGGAACAAAAGTGGAGATCAGTGGCGACGATGACAATCCAAAAGCATCCATTATAAACACACATGTTGATGTAAGTGTTAATGAATATCTGCTTTGATAGCTCAGTTGGGAGAGCGTCAGACTGAAGATCTGAAGGTCCTGTGTTCGATTCACAGTCAAAGCATTTTGCTTTTTGTGCTTCTTCCTACAGTTGATTTCTTGGAGTTGTTGTGTTTGCACCTTTTGCAACCAACCTTAGCTTGCTTCTAGAGCTACAAGACAAAATGCGGGATTGGTAGAACAACTCCACAGTTCAGGAGGAAACCAACAAGCATACAGACTCCAACATGGCTGGCTTGGAAGCAATCAAAATCAAGAGAAGTTTCTTCCCAAAAGGGTACCGGTACGGGAGATTGGTATCTGGGCACCTCCTCCTGGCAAGCTTGACCACACTTCTTCCAGCCACTACTATTCAAAGACGTGGTAGTAAGTGGCGACTGTGACCATTTACCCAGGGGACTTGGGAGTGGACTCGTCACCTGGGTCCTTTTTCTTGGAAGGAAACATTGGATGTTGTGCCGTGTTGTGCCTCCTTGCCAGGGGACTTTGTTTCTTCCTTTGATTCTTCCCCGGACTTCTTTGTCAGCTCCTTGAATATTATTTCCTTGAGCGCTTGGTTTTGGATGCCTGTCCCTTTTCCTTGGATTCTTCGTTGGCTTATTCCTTGGCTTTTTGCTTGCGGTTGGCTTGCATTTTGGACCCACAGTTGGGAGATTGTCGGACTTGAGATCTGAAGGTCCTGTGTTTGATTTGAAGCAGTTGTGTTTGCACGTTTTGCAGCCAAGAACCTTAAAGCTTGCTTAGCTACAAGACAAAAGAGCTAGGAAACGTTACACCAGTCGCCGGGGTGCCTGCAGGCTGTGGTGGTACAGTACCGGCACATCAGTTGCTAGCTAGTGGGACTGCGTTTTGTGTTGTTGGGTTCTATTGCTAATCTAATCTATTCTATTCAGTAGAAAAGACCAAGACCCCTTCTGCCTCCAATCTCTCCAAAGTCTTGGCCACTCCATCTTCGTCATTGTTGAGGTCAATAACTTGATCCGCAACTTTCTTTACCACGTCCGCAGCATTGCTCATGGCAATTCCCTTTCCAGCCATTTGAATGAATTCCAAATCATTGTCGCCGTCTCCAAAGGCAACGGTCTCCTCTATTGGAATCCTCAAATGGTCGCACATTTTGATCAATCCGTTTCCCTTGCAAACATCCGGGTGCAAGATTTCCATGAACCACCCCAAATGACCTCGCACAATATGGGCTCTCTTCCCATTGATAAGATAGGTTCTTTGCTCAACTCGCGATCAAACGCTTCCATCATTTGGTCTTGTTCCTCCACCTTGCACAAAACCAGCTGCTTGGAAGGAGGTCCCTTTTGAATGGCCGCCTGGAAATGATCCTTGACGTATTGCGTTTGGCTTCCCGTTAGATCAATGTACAATTCGGCCACTTTATAATCATACGGTTCTCGAGGATCGGCAAAGATGTCTTCTCCCACGTAGTATTGCGATATACATCCCATTTCTTTGGCCAAGTCAATCGTTTTCTGCGCCACCACGGCAGGAACGGGAGTCGAAAAGAGTGGTTTCTTTTCCACTTTCCGCTCTCCATCTGGTCCTTCCGCGAGACTACACATATAACCCTGTGCGCCATTGGAGCACACGACCGGTATCGGTTGGCATAGATTCAATGCCTTGACAGTTTCGTACACAGTCGTGATGGCTCTACCAGTCGCAATGGATATCACAAAGCCTTGATCTTCTAGACGACGAAGACACGCTTTGGTGACTTCTGAAGGCTGATGCTGCGAGTTGAGAAGAGTCCCATCCAAATCAAGAGCCACCATTCGAAATTGACGGGGGGTATTAGCATCATTGGGAGGAATCTTCTCGGTTTCCTCCTTTTCGCCGGCAGTCACGGCAGGCGTCGCGGTAGTGCCTGTTTTCATTGTCATGGTTGGATTATGTTGTAGAAAGGCGAATGTGTGTAGGAAAGAAGCCAAGAGTATAATGAGACGAGTAGGTCTCATGGTGGGAACATGTGAAGCTATGATGGGTGGTCGGTGGAGTGGTGTGGATGCACGAAACAGGAGGCGAAACCGGGTGTGGCGTGGACTGTGGACGGTTTGAGTGACGTGTTGGCAGCAATTTACACGCTCTTTTCTACAAAAGAGGCGGCTGGGTGGCTGGGTGGCTGCCCTTCATGCTTTCTATTTTTTTTTTAAGGTTTGCTTGGTTCTCAACTTGCATGGTTTTTAATAACAAGAGGCAAGACAAAACTAACGAACTTGACTATCTTGGTGTCACCAACAGTACGGTAGCTTTGAAAAGATCCAGTCGCCGCGATGCATCACTGCAAAGCGAGGATTGTGTAGTAAAATGGAGTTAACAAGAATTAAGACAGGGTAAAAGCTGGCTAAAGTAGGCGAATTCGTGGAGAGGTGCCAAATGAGCCGAAAGCAAGTTTTAAAGATATTCAGTTCGCCAATGGGGTTAAGCCCTGCTACTACTGGCTAGTAGTAGATTCGAAGATGGCCTGAGGGGCTTCTTGGAGCTGTAACTTCGAGTGGGCTTGCTAACTCGCCTCTCACACTCATCAGCAGACACATTTCCTAAGAGCAGATTGTTGTGACTTGATGCTCTCAGTGATGATACCGCGGCAAAAGACACTGGACTTGGACAAGTCTCTGAGGCATTGATCGCAAACGGTTGGTCCCATCCTATCCTATCCGATCCTAACCTATCCTATCTCATCGTCTGAAGCACACACAAATCACAATTCATCCACTGGATCACGTGTCTTCTTCTTTTTATCCTTGGCTCGCAGTTGATCTTCAAACCCTTCGTATTCCATTCCCGGTGGCGGACACCACGGATGCAACTGCAATGTCTTGGCCCGCTCCGGCAGGTCGTCATGATACGCCAGATAATCCACATCGTGCGTATAGCTCAAACACACTTTGGACGGCAGTCCTTGTTCCCGTTGATATCCCATGCCGTGTTTCAATTCTCGATATTGGCTGGAGGCTCTCCACACCGAGTTGTGATTCCAGACAATCAAGTTCATGCGTCGGCCCGTGTCAATGTCATCGGCTCCATGACGACGACTGCCGAGATGCAAAATAGCCCGTCCCACTTGGTGATGATATTGATGCGTGTATTGTCGATGATTGGCCGCTCCAAACTCGCCACAAAATGTCAAAGTCGATCCGGTAAAGGTTTCCCCCAGACAGACATTGAACGTGACATCCGAGTCGTCCTGGTATGATATGGCATCATGTGTGTGTATGTGTGTGTGTGTGTGTGTTGTTGCAAGTAGTGGATTGGGGTGGGTAGATTGAATCGCACAGATAGATTGTACCGACAAAAGAGAGAGGAGGAAAAGAAAAGAACAAATCAGAATTCGTCTACTGGCTAGAAGAACCGTCCATGGCCTCTATACATCCAACCAAAAACAAAAACAAAAACAAAAACAAAAACAAAAACAACACCAATACTGACCGTATGCATATCCAATCCCAAATCTTCGTCGGCTTGATACCGTACGATAAAGGAATGATGACCATCGAATTTGGGTGTGGCTTCTTGGGGAAAGAGTACCTTGGAAATGGGCCACAGATAGTCTTGCTGAAAGGAACTAATCAAGGGTCGCAATCCAATCTCGTTCACGACCACACCGTACTTGTTCATGGAATTGGGACGATGAATGGGAATGTCGAATCGTTCGCTCGCCGCATAAAAGTTTGCAATTTCTTCCGTCAACAGTTTCACAAATTCTGACGTGAATGCGGAAAAACTGTAGACGCTATCGGGAATTTCCACCGTGAGTGGTGCCGATGGCATGGTGCTACTAGTAGTAGTAGCATTTTGTGTTTGTTTTACAATCTCCACCAAATCGGGATGGGCCCAGTGCGACTGGAAGGTGCCTTGAAAGAGAATCTCGTGTTTTCGATGAGGTCGATAGAGACCTTCAATGGTCCGTTTCAGCACTGTCGTTCGAGTGGCCATGGCTGCCTCTGTAGTGGATACTACAACGAGTACTGGCAGCAATAATGCAAGAGCAAAGGAGGATACACAACGCCACAACAGAGGTTGGCTTCTCATCGCCTCTTGTTTTGTTTGGTTGTGCTTTGGGGGCAGGCACCGTTTGGTCCTCTGGGAGGCAAAGATCCAAAGATCCGAATGATCCGAATTCAATCGAATCGAATCAAATTGAGTCGAATCGAAACAATAGAATCTTTCAATTCGAATGGGGTCGATTACGGTGCCGGACCAGAGCCAAAAAGCGCATCATCTGACGCCTTTCTACCAGCACCAGCGGGGACAAACCAAGCAAGGGAAGTTGCAGACGTTGCAAATGCTCCAAACTACTGTCTTGTATTTGATCTGGATTCGATTCCTTGGCCTTGGCCCTTTGGTGTACGGTAGAGGAAGTACGATGTAGCAGCAACATAGGTTCCTTCAAATACAAGAGATACCTCCTGGCCAGACTGCAATCAGTCAATCCAGTAACGATGGTCTGGGTTGCTTGGGCTGGGGACTGTCTACTGCTACATGCATTGCTGTCTCGCCTGAGTTGTTAGGCTCAGCGTTGCCTACTGCAACGGTTTCTTCTGGTTATATCATTTTATTCTAAAAAATACAACTACCTGGCTACTGCAGAGGACCCGGGTCAACCAGTCAGTCTAATACGTAGAGGGATGTGAGCACCTAATATACCGGGCAGACCCCGGTGATCTCTGACCCCATTTATTGTGGTGGTGGTTGGTTGGTTTTGGTTGGTTGGTTTCCTTAGGGTTAGAGTTTATCTAGAAACGAAGCCCCCTCATGGGCCCCCACATTTCTTACACATTCTCTTATAGCAACGGATCCTGAATATTTTCCTCACATCTGCACACCTCTAAACTCCCGTAAGCTACCACACCACTTTCTCAGATGGAAAAATCTAACGTCTTACGTTGCACATCTCTAAACTCCCCCAAGCTACCACGCCTCTTTCTCAGACGGAAAAATCTAACGTCACTCCCGTAAGCTACCACACCTCTTTCTCAGACGGAAAAATCTAACGTCTCACGTTGCACACCTCTAAGCTCCCGTAAGCTACCACGCCTCTTTCTCAGACGGAAAAATCTAACGTCTCACGTTGCACACCTCTAAGCTCCCGTAAGCTACCACGCCACTTTCTCAGATGGAAAAATCTAACGTCTCATGTTGCACACCTCTAAACTCCCGTAAGCTACCACGCCACTTTCTCAGACGGACAAATCTAATGACACTACCTTCAGCCAAACTTCAACAATATTACTATGCCGGCCCATCTTTAAGTCTGCTCGCCCGGTATATCTATTACACCTCCAGTGTCCTTTTTAGAAAAAACCATACTCATGTTTTATTAAGTTAATAAGCATTCGATCATCCAGACTATTGTTTTGCTTTCATATCAGAATATAGCCAGGGCATCACGAGCTCGTAAAACTTTTCCTGATTGCGCATCTCTTCAAGAGGACATCATGAGCTTCAATTCGTGCTTTCTTGTACGGTACATGCAGTCCCCATGCCAGCTAGCTAGCTAGATACCAAACAGACGACCTGGGGAGTCATATGCGTACAACGAGTCTGGAAATATTTTGTCGGCCAAGTCAATCGCTTTTTCAAGCTTTTGTTCCACAGGGTTGAGTGGGCGTTCCAGTGATTCCTTGTGCTCCTCAGACTAGCGTTCTTTGTTGTGTAGAATGAATAAAGACAACACTTTCAAATCCACTGTGACACTTTTGATCCTAAAGGATCCTTTGTGATGAATTGTAGGACCATCTTCTTCTGTTGCAGGGCAGTCGATGCATTGAGCGTGGATGATTTCGCATTCCAGACTTCCTCCTGGCGTGCCTTCGATATCGATTGTTTGACCGGCTTCCTTCTTGGACATTTTAATAAGCTGAAATGTAAGTTGGGCAGGGTTTGGAGAGCACCTCATGAGCCTTCCGTCTTCGCTTTGTTCTTCTTCTGGAAGCTCTAATACCACTTCGACATGGTGAGAAACGGCTAGCAGATATTTTTCCCGAGCGTTTTCTTTAATTTCTCGTTCTTCCGGTGTTGGTGCCTTCCAGTCAAACTCATAGACTTGTTGTTCTGTGGCGATGAAAGTGTGCTTGATGCAACCATCGCTGACAGTAGTACCTGCCACGAAATCAGTTTCATAGGGACGTTCGCAGCACACAATAGAGTCACGAATACGCCCATGGTGTATCCTTTCGTGTACTCGATCCACAACTCTGTATTTCAAGCAAAGACTTTGCAAGCGGTCGAGTGCCAGTTTGGCAGCGACCTTGCCACATCCTTTGGATGTTAAGCGAAGATGAACCACATCCACAAGATCCAAATCTTGAGGAAGCCGGTACTGACCACATATCTCCAATGCTTCCAGAAAGAGACCGTAGTGATCTGTCTTGGGTAAGGCCATCTTGACCCGCTTCTTGGGTGGCTCTTCCTTTTGCATTGTCGAATTCGCTTTGCTATCGTGTTAGTACATGTACATGTACTTGCAAAAGCAAACAGTGAGAGGAAGAAAATAAATACCCCTCAAGCCAAGACTCTCTTACAATGCCTTGCTTCTGCTACTGCCTCCAAAACTCAATTTTCCTACTCTCAAATGATGTTCTTCATGCAGACCCGTATCTCAATTGCCCTTGTGAAAGCTACCCATTTATGTCTCCGTGGATCCCGCAAAGCCAAACCCTTTGCCCCCCGTAATGGTCCTCCATTAATTTTCTTGCCCCTGATCCCACAGAACCGAGTCCTGAATTTCGACTGTTCTTTGCTTAAGCCTGGCCCCGGCTGGCTTCCGTAGATAATTTCCCTACTCTAAACCCCCTTATAAAAAATAGATAGGTTAAGGAGCGAGGGGGGCGAGGCTAGGCAAAGCAGTAACAGTGAGAGTGGATTGAACGATTGAATTGAACGAGAGACGAGACTGCCTGTCAGCCGGTCTCCACAAAAGATCCAATCGAATGTTCCGAAAGGTCAGAGCCACATTCGAATAAGATCGAAACTGGAGCATAACTAACAGAAAACCGCTCGCCGATCGATTGGGTGATCTATCCAAGGACCCTCACAGATTCTGTAGTCTAGTTTTTGTAGAGATGTTTGCTGCTGGAACTTGAAGTAATAGTGCGGTTCTTATGCACATGGTTTTACTACGTACCCGTGGGGTTGACCTCCTTTGAAAGTGTACTGTATGCTGGGCCCATAGCAAAGAGGCCTTGTGTCAAGACCTAATTTTATTGTAGCTTTGACCAGGAGCTGTGCCGTGCGCCATCAAAATAACCTCTCCCTGTCACAAACGGGTTTATTCCTGGCCCTTGACGACATGACCACCAGCTTGGCTGTGCACAATTGCCATTGTTATCATACTGCTGATTTTTGTCAGGAGAATTACCAGAACCAACGAAACAATTTCCAATCCATGCACAGTGAAGCCCATTCCCATCCACAGAATAGACACCCTTGTCCGCCGAGTTCCAACCCCACGCCTGGTCAATGGCAATATCTGTGACTTGCTGGTAACAACGTTCTGGTTCCTGGTTGGTCATGGGCCATGCTGAAACACCGTAGCTGCACAACGCAAGTGATATGGGTGTTTGGGTCTGGGAACTGATTGGGGAAGGTTGGGGGGGGCAATGGGGTCATCCCATTTGCAGAGTTGGCAACCATTTCCATCATGGAGATCAAAATATCCTCCATAAGGATCTGCCCAACCATATCCACCATTAAAGAATGGCATAGTCAGCAAGGAGTGGATTGGTGGTGCGGCAGAAGGATTCTGAGAAGGTGCCGATGATGGCGCAATGCTTGGGTGGAGCCAGGGAAGGAGGGGTTGCTGACGGTGCCTGAGTTACCGGTACTGCAATGGTTGGACCAGGAGTGAGAGAACATGGACCAGGAGTTGGTGGTGCCGCAACAATTGTTTGTTCTATTTGAGAAGCCTTCCACCAGGTCGGTTCATACACGTGAAACAGGTGACCAGAAAAGCTTGGACAGGGTGTCTGGTCCGTATATGCGGGAGTTGTTCTGACTGGGTCATCCAAATGGCAGTTGCATGCATTAGCTAGCACCCGCAGTTGGCATAAGATGTCAATGCTATTCCTTTATGCATACCGATACCGGAACCTCCTACCGGTATCTAGTACCGGTACGGTCAGCTATTAAAGGTACCTCGCTGGCCAGTACACACAATCGGTGGATCTGAAATTTGAATACCGTTGCAGTGTAGGATGTGTGTTGTTCCATCGTTTTTCCAGGAGGATTGTATCGTGTTGGTCCAAGTCGCGGAAATGGATGCTGACGATGCCATCCAACGTTCCGGTGCAGGTTGTGCCTTCCCTCAATCCGCTGGGCGTCGCGAACTCTCACTTGCTTCCAAAATATCTGCAATGTGTAGTTGCAATACCCGACTAGGTTTCATTGTTGTGCTTCAGCCAGCTCCAAAGCGCTGAGCTAGCCGCACGCAAGTGGAGTGGTCTATTCATTGACAAGAGAAAGAGATTTCTCATTCGTGGCTGCATCCGTTTCTGCATCACTCCTCGATGGCAGCAACCCCAAGATCTTGGCGGACACGTACAAGAGCTCTTCTTCCGCTCCTCGAGGACCCATGTGGCACCAGTCTGGACTGCCATCCCAGATGGCTCCGGTTAGAAAGTGGGTATCCAAACAGCTAATATGCGGAGACATTTCACGGCAGAGTTGCTGGATCACGGCATTGTATCCGTCAATGACCATGGGATTCCTCCATCCCTCGGGAGGGCACTTGGAGATGAAATGGGTCAGTGGATTGTAATGTATGTTGCGTGTGTAGACATCTACTTGCTGTGTGAGGTTGAACTGGACAAGGAGGGAAAGTGCCCTCTTCATGTGTAGATAAAAGGCGTGCACCATCATTGGTGGATTGGTGGAATAGCTGGCGGGCCATTGACCGACACCAATGACGAGTTTATTGCAACGCTGAATCTGGATCAACCTTTGGACCACTCCTGGTTGGATGTCAGTGGGGTAAGGGACCTCGGACCAGTGAATCGTCAAATTGTTGTTGGCTCGAGTAATGTTCAATCGTTCCGCCGCCTCCTTGAAGAACCGAGCATGACTGGCCCCCATGAAACAAATCACAGTTGGTTGTGGTAACGAAAGAGACTGGATTCTGATGGGAGGGCCGCGGCCATCATGTCGATGGTTGGTCTTGGGGTGTTGATTCCACTGGAATTTATAGTCGTGGTAGCGTTCATGTGATGCCGGTTCTACACATTCTGGTGGTAGTGCTTCCTTTTTTCTATATGCCATCATACAGGTGTAGGGCTGATGCCTTGTATAACGGAGTGAGTGCTGTTGTTGACGTGGAGGTGATCAAATTGGTTCTATTGATGGAACCAACGAGAGTCGCGTTCGTTCTGGAAGGCTTGAAGTACCAGAAACCACTCACAGTGTGCTCGGATAATGCCCTCTGTGTTTTTACAGTCTCATGGTCTACCCATATAGTGGCATGGTTAGCCGTTAGTCGATGCTGATAAGGATTCTCTACGCAAACAGGGGCAAAGTGAAACGTCATAACCTCTCGGGTTTCTTGGAGTCCCCACCAATCCACAGCCTTTCTACTGACATTTGTTTGGCTCAACTCGATTGGTTGCTTTTCTTGAAAGAACAAGTCTTGCCTGTGTTTCAAATCATAGAATGCATCGTCGCAATAGATGGCGACAACTTCCAAAAAGTACTGACCGCCCACTGGTGCCCGATAGGTGCCTTCCATGGTGGCCGTGAGCTGCACTGGCATGTTCGTCTCGTTCGATACGATAGGGGCATGGATCTTGGTCCAATTTTCCACCTTGACCAACGCGGGGCCCGAAAGTCGTCCCATCAAGTACGGCCTCGGGCACCGTCCGTTCTGTTGAAGCGTGACAATCACCCTTGACTCGTAGACATCATGATGAATTGCCAGCACATCATTCGCCAAGGTTGCATTCGGATTCAGCGGAAGATTCTTGATCCATGGAGGACGCGAGTTTAGAGTGATGGCAGTCTTTCGACAGAAAGAGTCCTGTGGTTGTAGCTTGAGGACTTGCTGGATCACTGCTGCCACCACGGAACCAACAACACAAGCAATTGTGATGAGACGATACAGCTGCAGCCGGCTCTGTCGCATGGTCGAAGTGTCCAATGAACACCGAGCTGCTAGCTAGCTACCGGTAGAGATCCATGCCCCGATACCGGTACCTTTTATGGTACTAGTACAACTTGAATGTACCTTGACCACGGTGGCCTGATCCTCGATCGGTTGGATGAAATATGTGAGGAAACATTCAAACTTATTTGTCGTCGGGCTTTCACATGTGAAAGAAATCGATTTGGATCCCAGCGAACGATGAATGATCAATCGAATCGAATCGAATCGATTTGGAGTTTCTAAACAATGTATGAGGCATACTAGTAGTACCGGTACCAGTACGTACCGTTACTAGTACCACGGGTACCACAGGTACGGCTGCAGAAATGGCTGCCTTGACATCCTTGAGTTGGCCCATGCGAATGGATGTCCGTGTAATGCAAGGACATTCTCTGAAGCAGCTAAAGTTGGGAGTTTGACAATTCTGAAATGGTTGAGAGAAAATGGATGCCCCTGGGAAAACATGTTCTGGTGCTGCTAGAAAGGGGAATTGGGAGTGCTGAAATGGGCTCGAGAGAATGGGTACCCTTGGAGTGCAAGGACATGCATGAGAATGGATGTCCATGGGATGAAGCTACCTGCTCAAATGCTGCTGGAGGTGGGCATTTGGTGATACTGAAGTGGGCTTGCGAAAGCGGTTGGAAGATACATGCGTCGGCGCTGCTATGAGGGGAGATCTTGACATAGTGAAGTGGGCCCATGAGAATGGACTCCCCTGGGATGCCAGAACATGCAGGATAGCTGAAGAAATGGCTATTGGGCAATTTGGAAGTGGGCCCCTGACCATGGATGCCCAGAAGAGGAGCAAAAATGTGGTGGCGACCATGGTGATTATTACGTCACAGTATGCATCAGACATTTCCATAGTTTAGGAGATTGCATTCTACAGAGCAAGATTGCTACTTTCCTGCTTTCTCCGCTTCGTCATGCTCACAGCTCCCCTCCATGAGGTCAGCACTCTGGAGGTGCGCAACAGCCGGGTCGGCTATAAGAAGTGGTGATACATGTGCGGTACTAGAGGAGGTCAACGCGATCTTCAACACACACCAAGTCTGGTTCTTGGACACCGTGAAATACTTCTTGTAGTTGTTGAAGCTAGACATTTATCGTACAAGAATTACCACTGAAAACATGACCCGGTTGTTGCCGGAACGAAAGGTCTGTGGAAGCAGCCACGTACATACATGATTCCCTAATAAGAACATCCATGATTGTCTTTTCGGAACTGAATTCAATCCTCAAACAATTTCACTGTACCCAGTGACAAAGCAGTAGGTAGCGGAAATTCCAGCGCCAATACCAACTCCAACCATAATGTCCAATCTAAAATAACATGGATCGACAGTGAACCCCAGCGCTTGACCGAGACCAACGAAGAAGGCCCCACCGTAATCAAACATGACCGAATTCTGTGCCACTTCGGTGATATTCTGTGCTCCAAAATTCCAGCCAACGATAAACTCTATGCCAAAGAGAATACATTGAATGGTGAGAAATTGTTCAGCCAGCCAGATCTCAAAACTTTATGGATTCGATACGATTTGATACGATTCTGATTCGATCATCTTACCTGTATGGAAACCAGCTGAAGGCCCACCACCAATGCAAATGTTGCTCCAAGTTGCAACAATCAAAGGATCGGTCGAGATCTCGAGTTGAGAGCTGTAAATGAACTGATAAATGAATTTGAAACCAGCCGACACTTCCAGGTTCAAGCCCAAATAGGTCCAGGGTTGTCCGGAAATCTGGTTAGGACTCGGCTGCGCTCCACTGGTACACGCCGCTGCCATTTCGTCCAATCTCCTCAAATCCAGGGGCAAACTCGCCATGGCGTCACGAAGCTTTTGTTCCACGCCCGGCATGAGCAACCATTTTTGGGTCATTTCTTCCGTGGCGTTGTCCCCCATATCGATCGTACTCCTATTGAACATGGACTCCTCGGTCAATCCTGCCTGTTCCAAAAGGACAGTGGCAAAGTCAGCTTCCAAACCATTGGCATCCAGCTCGGCCCTGACGCCTTCCATGAGGCAGTCGACGGGCAAACACAGCTTTTGCGTTGGGATCCCGGTACATTGCAATCCTTCGTCGCACGGGAAAATGATGGAGCACCGATCGTAGAGCTTCCCACCGAATGTGTGGTCGTATTGCTGCAAGTCTCGAGGAGTATGAATGTCATCAAAGACATTGGCGTCGCCCGCTTCGGCAATCTCTGCCATGCCCAGGTACTTTTTCAAGGACACATCCTGGCGTTCCTTCAACAACTCGTCCTGAAGGAGGGTTTCCGCGTCGCCGAGCGCAATCACCAGGAGCACTAGCATCCACAAGGAGAGCTTGAGTGTGCATCTTGGATGAATGATGCCAGTGGTAGTCGAGATCATGGTCGGGATTCTTTTCTTTCTTTTTGATGATGATGATGATGATGAGTGCCTCCAGCTTTAAAAATTATGGCCAGATCTATGATAGCTACTGGTAGCTAGACTTTAACTAGCCCTGCACACATACCTGGTAGTCTACATACCCTATCCATGCCGTTAGCCCGTGGGCCAAGGAAGGTATTCTGGTATTTCAGAGAATTGTGTTGAGAACACAGTCACCTCCAAACGGACACCCACTATCGATCTTCAGTCCTGCAACCTATGGTAATTAGACCGTTGGCTGCCGACCTTGTAAGCCCAAGTTTTCCATAGATTTTGGCTCGAACTTGAAAGGTGACTTTTGGTTCGCCCCTCCATAATGCTCGCAATCCCAGGAAAAGATCCAGGAAGTGCAGCCGACCAACAGGAAAGCCAAACCTCTCTGAATCTCTGAGACAAGTTTTTCCTTGCCAATCATCATGCTCCAGGCAAGAAGAGGTGCTTGGCCCAACAGTATTGTGCTGGCAAATGTGTTGGTTTGGCAATTCGTGTTGGGTGATGTGGGCGAAACCACCAAGATGTTTCTGGACGACATGTCCCTCCACTTTGATGAATCCACAACCTACCCAGATTTTCTCTACGAAGAATTGTCCAATTGCATGGCCAAATGGGGTGTGGAACAACTCGAAGAGACCCAAGATGCCGCGTTTCAAAAGTTCTATGATTACTACTTGTCGGGTGGGAGTAGGGGGGATGCATGGGGTGGACGAGAGGAAGACTTTTTGGAATCCAAACTCAACAAGTCGGCACTCTTTGGAACCACCTACCGGACGTATGAGGTACAAGAGCCATGCAACTACGTTTCCAATGTCGGCTTCTACCGTTCGGCCATTCGCGTCTGTGATTACAAGACTTGGAATATCCCCGTTTCGGATCAAATAGCTCTGATGCAAACCTTCATCACAACGGGTACTTCCTCTTGTTGGTTTCATGGGAGCATGACCAATGCGGGGCAACAGTTTGATGCGCACATGGTAGCCATCCTGATCAACAATGCCTATCAGATATTAATTCGAGGCACGGGTACCAACTCGACAATCCTTTGGACAGTGGGTCAAGACATTGAGCCTATACCATTTCCAGAGCTCGTTACCGATATTACCTATATGCCACTCAATTATGGCGTACCCGAGTGGATCCCCTTCTTGCTGGAATTGCAAATGCAACGAAGCATCAATTTGATCATTGTGGCGTTGCTGGCATTTGGTTGTTATGCATTCCTGCCATCCTCCATCTGCGACTGCCTGGTGCAAGATGTGATTGCCCCGGAGCTTCTCAACGAAGTGGAAACTGACTTTTTTGTCAACCAGTACATTCCAGAATTGAACATGCTGATAGAAACACAAGACTTCCCACTTCCCCTGTTGCAGGGAGGGCCATTATTCATCAAGCTCATGGGAGTTGCCATTGCCTTTATATGGGCATTTGTGTTCCAAAAGGAGCAACTACCGGTTCCTTGCTTGGAAGGCGACTTTTTCAATCTCACGGCACTGGGTGCCATTAAAAGTCCCCTGGTGGATTTTTTGGCCAGCCTGCTTCATGGCGTACACAACACGGACGATCGTGGGTTCTTTGATCCACGTCGAGGTCATCCGTATCCAGGCTCCGAGTTTTGCAACAAACAATCTCCACATGCACTATATCACGAGCGTGCCGCCGATGCAGTGTTTGAACTGTATGCAGTCGCAGATGAAGTGGAACAGCTTTTCATCCAGCGCAGCAACCATCGGAGGAAACTGTAGTAATATTGTCTGAGAGTGAGTGAGGTTTCCAAGACAGCCAATTCCTCCAGTTCTGCGCTGTACTTGAGGGGAAGAATCAGAGGGGTGACCTCGTGTTCCAGTTCCAGGTAGCTAGGACATAAAGTGTAGGAGCCCAGAAGTTTTTAGGTTTTGCATTCTGATCTGCCTTTCCATGGCTCTGCCCTGCTGCTCGCGGATCCCCCCCCTCTCCCCCCCCCTTGCTTAAACGCAAAAGTTAGGGTTACATACTAGTATTTAACGCAGGTGAGTTCACCTCACGATCAAAAACAAACAAGACAACAACAACGACACCTCGATCTCTTCCGCTAGTCTTGCTCCTTTGCTCCTCCCTGCCCTCCTGCCTTCACCCCTATCCTTGGTTTCCATGTTGCCCTGCTTGCGCCCTTGATTGCCTGCCTTGCGTTCCTGCGTCGTGCCCCCCTTGACCTCTGTCTCCGTCCTCCTCTTAGCTCTCTCTAATCCATAGTAAACCCGATTCAATAAACAAAAAGAAATATTCACTCCAGGAAGCTACCAGTACAGTACTACAGCACCGCAAACAAAAGCAAGCTACAGTTCTGCACTGTACTACGACAGCACCATGGGTATTCTCGATAAAGCCAAGAATGCGGCCAAGCACACCAAACTCAAATCCGAAATCCTGTTGTTGGACCGCGAAATCAACGCCAAGAAACAGAAATTTGGCATTGAGGTGTGCGGTTTGCTGTGGGACCTGGACGCCAAAAACGGGGTGGGTGGTAAGTTGTCGCCATTGGCAAGTCCTTGGGAGGCCGCCAAGGCAGACCTAACCAAGATACGAGATCAAAAGGCAGAAATCCAGGCCAAGATAGACGCCGATGCCGAGAGCAAGCAGAGGGGAGAGAAAGAAGACGCCTCGGTCATGGACAAGGCCAAGGCCACCGGCACGGAAGGAAAACGGCGGGCCAAGCTGCAGCTGTTGGAGCGAGAAGCCAAGGCTCGAAAACAGAAATTTGGGGTCGATGCCTACGATGCAGCCATTCAATGCGATACGGGTGCTGCATCCGGTGGTGGCAGCACTCTGACGGATAGCAAAAACCAAGGAGCCCAAAAGGTTTCCGACTCCATATCCAGCAACAAGAAAATGACATTTGTCGAAAAGCAAATGGCCAAAGCGGCCGTCGGGGTGGTGTCGGCTGGGTTGTCGCAATTGACGGTGAGCGAAACAGATGTACTCAAATGTATTCAGACGGTTCAATCCGAAATCGAGGCGATCACACAGAAGAAGGATGACAAACTAGCCAAGATCGAGCAATTGAAGCAACCAGCGTAGCGATTCCTAATAGCGTTCGAATGTATTGTAAACAACGCAGTGTGGACAAGTATTGTAGGGACCCGGTTGGAAAGGATTGATACAACTTATGGCTGCTTTCTCTGTATTTACTGAGCACTGATGAGGCATGTTGCTGTCTAATGACACAACACTGGTGCAAACTCTGACTTTTGAAGACTTGAACATTTACAAAGGTAATGTATTGTATAGAAATGTGAAGTAGAGCCTAGGAGTCACTGGTAGTCTGTGCTTCTATGTGAATCGATGCCACTGTGGCAGTCTGTGTGGCTCTTCTGTCAGGTGGGCAACACAAGAAGTTGTCGCAGTTGACTTTGTCCACTGTGGTGTCACTTGGATAGATGCATAAGCTGTGTTCGTATATGTTGCTTAGATATCATTGCTAGTAGACGTGAGCAGATGAAGTGGAACAGCTTTTCATCCAGTGCAACAACCATCGGAGGTAACTATCACTCTATCAGGAGCGATCGAGTGATGCAATGTTTGAACTGTATGCAGTAGCAGATGAAGCCGGACAGCTCTTCATCCAGTGCAGCAACCATGAGAGGAACCTGTAGTAATTATTCTTGTCTGAGAGCGAGTGAGTGAGGTTTCCAAGACAATACCTCCGGTTCTGCTCTGTGCTCGAGGGGAAGAATCAGAGGGGTGGCCTCTCGTGCCAGCTAGCTAGCTAGGACATAAAATGTAGGAGCACAGAGGTTGTGTAGCTACATGTATCTTTCACGGCTCCCCAAATACAGTGGTGTTGCGTCGCGTCTTTCTTGATTGCATGATCTTTCGAATTGAATGGAATCATTCCATGAAAGACTTCCGGATCAGGGTTTACCCACTACGGCTGTACCCACGTGAGTGAGCATTCCGCGAAATGAACTTTCCAGAATGATCGGGAACCTCCGTGTCGAGCTCCAACATTGTCCTTTGATGAGACAAAGAGTTCGGTTCGGATTGCCACAGGAAGATTATGAGTTGCCGAAGGAAAATGATGAAAGTAGCCAGATATGCTCTTCATCCCTTTCCCCTCACAAACAAACAAAAAAGCGACAACCCAACCCAACCCAACCAAAGATACAATAGACTATCATCCATTCTATGATCATTTCCCAGAAGCCAGGGCTGCATCTAGCCGTGTCACTGCCACCTGCGCGGCTTTTCTCCCCACAACCTTATCCCCTCTTCGACAAGATTGCAAGCGTCAACCAGTATCTCATTTGTCTAAGTCATTGCGAAGACTGTATCTTACTACTCCATTGTACTATACAGAGGTGTACCGTAGCAGAAGCATCATGACATCAACATCCTTGCTGGCCGGGGCCAACGCCATCACGGAACTCTTGCATTCAGTTGGACCAGTCAAGGTCCTGAGCTCCTGTGTGGGCGTCTTGTCCTTGATGGCGCTGGTAAAGTATCGAGGTGCCATTCGACGTCGTGTCAAACAAATTCAAGAAGAGTCTTGGCTTTTTGGTGCTGGTGTCACCATGGAACGCGTCGTGGAGGGAAGCGCCACGATTGCGGAAGACGGCGTGTTTTCCGACCTTCGGCTCTTGGAAATGAATCCGGAATTTCAAGCAAAATGCCAACAGGAAGGTCAGCCAGTGATTAGCTTGGGCACCTACATGGCACAATTGCGACTAAAGGACTTCCCAAGGCAATCTCTATGGAAGAAACACCGAAACCGAAACTGATTCAGCGGGAAATCGAAGCTGGATTGGCGGCAGGACTGCTCAAAGTATTGGGACCGCAAATGGGCCGTGTCTTGCTCCCTGCTGTGGGTACTGGTCTCGTTCAAAAACGTGCTCGTGGATTAGCGGGAAGCATTGCCGCGAATTGGTTCTTGTCGTCGGACAGGAATCGTCCATAAGTGCCTCCAACGATAAGGGTGGGATCCCCGTATCGTTGATGACTCTTTTGGCCATTTCCGACGTCAATGCCAAGGTCAATGGTGGAAACAGCACCGCCGTTCAAGACAATTTCGTCCCAAACTACCATTTGAGTGCCATCGACAAGATGAAAGTGGGGGAAAGTGTCAAAGGAACTCCCACCTTTGTCCAAAATCTCAACGACGAATTTTTCATTCCCAATGACTTTGTGGTTTCCGGATGGAAGAGATTCTCATGGGCCACGATGGTGACATGACGGCTTCCGCTGAGCTTCAAATGGCGCAAGATGCCGGCGTACAAGAGGAAGAGTCGCACGAAGACTCGGTGGCTTACAAGAACCGTGAGGACAGTAAAAAGACGAAGAGCTCCTTGTATGATCCCGAAGATCGCAGCCTGGGTGAACCAGTGCCCGTCAATCATCGGTTGTTTCCCGGCTTGCATCTCGGTTGGGGAGATGCCTTGAACTCGCACACCAAACGAGAAATCCTCAAGATGCGTTTATTGTCGATTCTCTTGAACAAATTGGGAGCCAACTATTACCGTCATGCCAATAAGAATGCAGGTGAATTGTTTCAAGTGCGCATGACGGATGACGACAATGCCAAAGTCATTACAACGCCGCGGGAATTAGTGCAGGCATTGATCGATTCGATTCCGGTCACGACGTTCAAGTGTTTCCAACCTCTCGCATGACCACATTTGGATTGGCCTTGTGCGTCAAGGAAGGGGAAGATGCTTGGTCCAAACTTCCCTTGGGAGTGTTTTTGGAGACGCACAAGAACGGCAATATGGCTCCCGCCATGATGCCTCATTCCGGATTGGATATGGTAATTCAAGGACCGCTGGCAGGAACTCGTGCGGATGGAACGCCCAGTGAGCTTCGTCTTCAGGTATGTCATGTAAAAGCTGGTTGTGGAAACGGTTGTCGTGATGTTTTGCTAACTAACCATGAATGATTCCCTTTCCCATTTGTTTGCAGCGCTTTGTCGGCATTGAGGGATTTTGTGGCTGGAAACCCATTCCAACCCGCAAGTTCCCTTCAATGAGGCAGTGGAACAAGGTCCTCATGTGAGGGGTCTCGATGCCGTCCGGGCCGCCCGCATTGCGGGTTTGTACGCCACCATTTTGAACGGCCTCGCCACGGAACTGGAACTTCCGTTTGGTGGCTACGGTTTGACGGCCGTCTGCAACGATTCCGCCGCCTTGGTGCAACAGTGTTTGTACGACACCACCACAATTTATCCCATGACATCAATTGGACGATTCTTGGTGCAGACCGTGCGGTATGCCGAGCGGTTGCAAGAGCACCTAGCAAATAGTGAAGAGGACTTGGAAATGGAGATTCAAGAGTTGCAGGCTATCCGGGAGGCGATGAAGAAGATCCCATCGGACTTGAATGCCTCTCCTTCAGGTGCCAAGAGTGCTGCGACGCGATTGTTGGCCACTTTCCAACCTAATCTCCCGCTTAAGCTCATGAAAGATTCTCGCAACGTCATGGAATCTATGGCATATCTGCGAGAGGAAGGAGAAGAGTCCCAATGGAGGCGAAAGAATCAAAATGTGGCGAGCGATGCGAAGAACCTTCTTGTGCATGTGGCGAGCGAGTGACAGAATGTAATTGCAGCAAGATTTCACATGCATGACGTACCGGTACCGGTAGAGTGAAGCTTCTCTAATAAACCCCATAAACAAAGGTACTCTTAGTTAGTCTACTCTTCTCTTTTTGTTGTGACAGTTTCATCCATTCAAGATCCAAGAGCGATCAAGCTGGAATTAGTGGAGGCAGATATCCGAGCGTGCCAGCCTCGGAAGCTGCTTCCAATCTTTTCATCGCTGGTTGGTTTTGGCGCCGCCGCGCCGGGTTATTTCATTTTTGCGAAGGTGCCTCCACAATCTTTCGCAAAATCGCTCTTGCTCTCGAGCCATCCAAAGAGTGTGGATGCATGAGGCGTAATAGCTGTGTGCTCATTAAAATCTCAGTTATTCAACTGTACCCACTCACAAATTTGGACAGCAACTAGCTTGATCAGTGGGTAGTAACGGAAGAAGAAACTGTCGTTTCCTTATACAAACAAAAGTGTTCCTTCAATATCTATCTTTCATCACAATGACAGAACCCTGCTCCCCCACTTCGACCATTGCCTCTCCTCAAGCGGCGGCAGGCTTTATGATTTTTTCCGTCACGTCAAACGGAAAGGATCCAATGGCGTCGGCAGAACAGCAAGTACCCCCTGTCATTAGTATTACCTCCGCGAAAGATGCCCCGGAAGAGCCTGTCATTTCTCCTAGTATCAGTGAGGACAAGGATGACAAGGAGGAGGAGGAGGAAGAGCCACCCATGATGGCTCCCAGTATCAGCAAAGAGGATAATGACACTTGTGTTCTTGCGACTCCCACTGCTAACAAGAGCAACAACAACAAAGATGACGAATTCAAAGAAGTCGTGGACTTGTGGGGTTTGACTTTGGAAGAAGAGCAGCAGCTGCAAGAGCTGCACGATAGTGTCCAGGATGTGGATCATCCGCATGCCAAGGACTTTCATACATTGGTACGATTCCTGACGGGACCTCAAGGACCCGCCATGGCCGAGCCCAATTTTCGCGATATGATTCAATGGAGACGCGACAATCACGTCGATGACATGTTGCAAAACTACCAACCCGATCCATTTCTCGTCGAGTATGCGTCTCCCATGGCCTTTCTCAAAGACTACGACCGAGAAGGCGATCCCATTTACATTGAAAGAGGAGCCGCCATGGATGCTCAAGGACTCTTGCAACGCTATTCCCAAGAGGATTTGATGCGACATGCCATTTGGTTGCGAGAAGTCCAAAGCGAGGGAGACTGGGTCGATGACTACGAACGCCGTCAAGGACATGCCATTAAAGATATTACCGTCGTTTACGATCTGGAGGGTCTCAACCCCAAACATTACACTCCACACGTCTTGGCATGGTTCCAGAGTCATGTCCAAATGACGGACGATTACTACCCCGGCCCCATCAAACGCATCATTGTCATTCGAGCTCCGGCCGTATTTCGCGTCATGTGGAACACGGTCAAGTTCTTCATGCCGCGCGGTATGCGGGATATGATGGTCTTTACCAACCAACACAATTATTTGCAAGTCCTCGACAAGTATCTCGACGTGGATGTACTGCCGCCGTGTATCAACCCAAACGGCAAGGGAGAAACCGCCATGGGCATGCCCAAGAGCCTAGTGGCGGGAAAGATTCCGGAGCATATTGGAGTGGGCGGGGAAGGACATTTACAGAGTGAGGCTGCCACGATACAACCCGTGCCAGCACTGCCACTCAAAAAGCAACCGTCTCATGGCACGGTGGAAACGTGCTCGGATACGGGGAGTGTCTTGGACGACGACGAAGCCGACATGCTGGATGATGACAGGTACACTTCGTGGGAACAAGAAACACCCGAACAGCACTTTGGCGAAAACTGGGAAGAGGTTGTCTTTTCGGAAAGCCACCATCATCAAACCACACAAGTACACGTCTTTTGGCAAGAAACAACTGGGGTCGAAGTGTCCCACAAATTGGTGGACAGCGACCGTCAGAAACTCATCTTTATATGATAGCCAAGAACGGTACCGGTCGCCACAACCAAGTGCATTGATTCAATGACAAGAAACAACCTACACAGACAATATTCTTGAACAGCAGTCCTTGACGCTCTGCTCTTCAAAACGACAAACGCAACAAGTTGCAGTGTTTGTTTGTCTGGCGGCACTTGCAATGTGCCGCCCATGTTCCTTTATACACCACACCCCTTCCATGTTGAGACTCTATGTCCTTGTATTATATGTTACTGCATTTCATGTTGCAACGTTAACCTGCTCTTATCCATACACGTACGAATGAGCCCTTGAAACTCATCAATCCACCATGAGGTTACGCTCTACATTAGAAACCGTTTTAAATCCCAAGCATTAGACACATAGCGATAACAATAGTATCCCACGAACGGTACCCAGAATAGCCAACACTCTCAGGTCTTAATAATATTCTAATAGTACCGGTAGGTTCTTATAGAAAGGAGCCAGCCTAGAAATATATTTTTAATCTTGTGCGCTAGCTTTCGCATGGAATCCCATCAATACTCTATCTCCATACCTTGATAGTGCAATCCCTCGATGCGCTAATCAGCGCAGTGTTGTTCAGAATCTTCAAATCATGAATGGCTTCTGTGTGATGGTTCTCATGCTTCGTAACACCTTTGCCCAGCTTTCTGGTTAATCGAGAAGATGAAGCGCCACCCATCTTGCCACCCCCAGGAAGCTGGCGGCACAACATGAGACGACAGTTTCCGTCCAGGTCAATCCGTTCAAAGGAAGGACGAGGCTGGTAGGATGATTGGCCGGACACGGCAAAGCACTTGGAAGGAACCGCAAAGTCCCAAAACCGGATTCGGGCGTCGCCCCCACCAGTAATCAGGTAGCTGTGGTCGCTGACTCCAATGCTTCCGCACATTGCATTGATGGACGTTACCATTGACGGAGCCATTGAATTTTGATTCTTCAGGAACCCATTCGTCATGAGTGCGCTGCGTCGCATGGATGCTGCAGAGATGGGAACTTCTTGAAGTTTCGGGATATCCTCTGCGTAGGCATGTGCCGAATGGCTGCCATAACCCACGGTTCGAAAGCATTGGCTGCAATCACCCGTCGTCACGTCAAACATGGCACATTCGTTCGGGCCACAAGATGCAAAGACATATGGGCGGAGCGACGAAGCATCAAGGTTTCGGGAACCCCACATCTGCGGAGGTGGAACAAAGGAAGTTGCAAGTCGAGTGATTGGAGCTGCTCTGCTGTGGTGCCACAGCTTCACGTTTGCGTTGAAGCGTAGATCCCAAAGCGCCAAGAACCCTCGGCTCGTTCCTGTCAACAGCCAATTGCGATCCGTACCCAGAGCCATGCTCGTTAGATAGCCAATGTCAGGCCCATGCTTGAGCACAAACGGCTCGACGCACGATCGCAAGTCCCAAGAGTGAACTGATCCCTTTTGACTCGCAAAAGTGACAATCGATGCGCTCGTGGAGTTATAGTGAGAGACAGCCAGAATTTCCCCTTCTTGTGGATTGATTTGTCGAACTTCGCTGGTTCCCACAACTCGGGATCTTGTGTATGCCCCGCGCAGATCGGTGTTGACTTGAGATGGCTGTTTCTTTTGCGATACACTGTCAACACGCCAAACATGAACCGAGCCATTGCTAGCTGCAGAAGCAACCGAATGACTGCCCTCGACCATCGCTACGTCGTTGATCCTTGCCGTGTTTTGGCTCTGTCGATCGTCATGCCCCGTGTACGCAATGCTGCTCTCGAGTACACCAGAGCTGGTTTCGATTTGGTCCAATTCCCAAACTCGGCAGCTGCCATCGTAGCTGCCTGAAACGAAGAAAGTCTGATCCAGCGAGACTGCAATCCGAACAACAGGGGCTGTGTGGCCAGAGAGTGTGGAACTCGTAGCCAAAAGAGTATCGGCTTTGGGTCTCCAGTCTGTAGCAGCAGCGGTCTTAGCGTCTCTGGAAGCGGGCGACGATGGTGGCGGTCTCACAGCCATGCTAGCGAGCTCGCCCAGCCTTGGAGGCAGGGGTGGTACATTCAAAGCTTGGAGCTTGGTAATCAACAAAGAAGTATCGAGGAGCACTGGGTCAAGTTGTGTTTCAGAACCCCATTCCCCAGAGCAAACACCCTCTATAACCTTGGATTCTCGAGAATAAGCCATATCTTGGATCTCTTTTTTGCTCAGTTTCGTTTCTTCGCCCGAAGCACCGGGCGATTCCGCGGTGCTATCTGACGCTGCCATGATTGACAGGCCATAGATTTCGCCCAGAGCTGATACCGATCTGATGGCCGATGTTTCAGAGGTTTCCGAGTTCATCGCTTGGAGTTGGTCTCGGAGGTCGCTGTACCATGCAGGCAGCGTTCGCTTGTTGACTCCGATAGTATCCTGGCGTGGAAACTTGATGTTTTGTGCGAGCTTGAGTGAACCTTCAATACCGTTCTTGAGGACATGAAATTTGCCCTCTTCTTCTTCCTGGGTTTCCGATTGTGAACCTGATGGTTGTTTGTTGCGCCTTCCAAGCGTTTGCAGGTATTCTCGCACCCTGGCAACTTGTGCTTCAATAACATCAGGACCAGTGCTGGACTGAGGTTGCTGGTCTGCACTGCCAGCGTCGGCTCCTTCGGTAGTGCTAGATTCTGGTCCAGTTGTAGAATCAGACGTCCTGATGCCAACCGACGTCCAAGGCCCCGCTGTTTGTTGCTGGCTAGTAGAGTTCATGAAAGCGCTCAGTTCTTCGGCGAACTTCTCTCTTGACCACGACGGGTAGAGACAAGTTTCCATTCCGTCAAGCGTTTTCAGATGACGCAAGGAAGGGAGGAATCGGAAGAAAGGGTACAGGAGATGAGCAACATAGACTTCGCTGTCGGGCGACCCCAGAGCTTCACATGCTGCGTTGATTGTCGCGATGGCTCCATGCCTAATATCAGCAGATGGATGAACCAGTAGGCAACCATACTTTCGAAGCAACCCATCTGATGCCAATTCGACCATCGAGTCTGGTGTTGAAGAAACCGTCAGATTCCCCAACAGCACGGATCTCGACAACAATCCCAATTCGATCAACTCGGCCAAACAGCGAATGGCAGCTCCTACGACCTGTTCCTCGCCATCGACCAATCCGCTTTCCAGACAGGGAAGGACAAAGTGCTCAGTGGCAGACCGCCCCACGATACGGCATACCGATGGCAAATGGCAAAAGAGAGCGGACCGCAATTGAGCATCCTTTCGATCGTTCAAAAAGGCCAAGACTTGCGGAAGGATAAATGCCATCACCCCTTCCAAACCAAAGAAATTGCACAAGCGGGAGAGATTGCTCTCCAGCAAAGCTTGTTTGATGGGCGAAGAATATTCGGAGAAATCCGTGGTGATGTGAATGACCCATGCAGAAACAGTCTCCTGCAACGCTGACAATTCATCTTGGTAGGTGCTATTGATCAATGTCTTGCCAGACGGACTAGCCCCAAGGTTGCCACCATGAAATCCGCCTTCTTGTAAGTTGCTGGCAGCACTGGCAGCGGCATCCTTGGAAGATTCGTCCTTCTTCTTGGGTGTTGTGGAAGCAGTGTCGTCTCCCAACAACTTGGCCATGTCATCCGAAAACACGTTGGGACTGGTCGGTGTCTTCGTTTTCTTTGTTTTGCCAGTGGATCCTTGGTCGCCAGCAGCAGAACTAGTGGCCGTGGCTGCCGCTGCCACTCCAGCACTGCTACTACTCCCAGCTCCAATGGCTTCGTACAGTCTCACGGCATGACTAATGTCCAAGAACCGCTGTGCCGTTTCGGCCAATACCGCAATGGATTGACAAAATGCCAAC